AATTAGACATTTGCAGGTTACATTTATTACAAATATCTTCTCCTGATTGGAGGTCTCTCTTTTCCTTTTGATTGTAGAATTGTTTGATAAACAGAAAATTTCCATAACACTGTCATCATATTTATGGGTCCTAACCAATCTTTGTACATTTTATGTCTTGTCGAAGAAATCCTTCCCATTCAGAGAACAGAAAAATAAATATTTTCCTATGTTTTCTTCTAAGAATTTTAGAGTTTCATATTTGACATTCAGGTCTTTAATATATCTGGAGTTTATTTGGGGTGTGATGTGGGATTGCATTTGTTTATTTTTCTATATGGGAAAATACTTATCCTATGGACCATCCTTTTCTGAATGATTTAAAATGATACATGTGTCATATAAAACATTTCCATTATTACTGTGGTCTATTTCTAGGCTCTCTAATCTGTTCTACTAATATGTTTGCCCATGTATCAACACTCTACTTTTTAATTACTATGGCTTTCAAGTAGATCTAGATATCTTTTTTTTTAATATTTTATTTATTTAGGGACACCTAGATGGCTCAGTGGTTGAGTGTTTGCCTTTGGCTCAGGGCGTGATCCTGAGGTTCCGAGATCAAGTCCCACATTGGGCTCCCTATGGAGAGCCTACTTCTCCCTCTGCCTATGTCTCTGCCTCTCTGTGTACCTGTGACAGGCAGAGGGAGAAGCAGGATCTACACAGGGAACCCGATGCCAGGCTTGATCCCAGTACCCTGGGATCATGACCTGAGGCAAAGGCAGATGCTCAACTGCTGAGCTACCCAGGTGCCCCAGATCTAGATATTTGATAGGACAGGTGCCTCATCTTGTTCTTCAGCATTCTCTTAGCCATCTTGGCCTTTTACTCTTCCGTATATATTTTAGAATTATTTTATTGTGCTCTAGTGAAAAACAAGATCAAAATGAAACCCTGATGGGGGTTTTATTGGAATTATAATTGGATCCAGTTGGGGAAAAATTTTTTTTCTTTATGATATTGGGTCTACCTATCCATGAACATAGTGTATCCCTACTTGTAATCATTTCTTCAATTCAATAATTTCAATAAAGTTTTTAAAAAATTTTCATGAAGATCTTATACATTTTTTGTTAATTTAGTATATTTCAGAAGGAATAAATATTATTTGTTTTCATTACAATATCAAACCTTTTTATTATCCTGCTGTCTTTAAATCACATTCAAAATATTATTATTGGTATATGCAGTTATAGGATTTATTTTTAAATATTGATATCCAGCAAAATTGAGGAATCCTCACTTTTCCTTACATTTAGTTTTTAGCTCATATCAAAGCTATTTTATAGCATATAATTTAAAGAGATGGATGGTTGTACATTTGTTATGAGAAACAGAGAGACGGATAGTTCTATAATATTTTATTATGAAAAATAGCTGATTCTTTTTCCTTCCTGCCACAGGCATGACCAGGTAATTTTTAATATCATTTTTAGCTGATTACTTTATTTATTTATTTATTTATTTATTTATTTATTTATTTATTTATTTATTTTAGCTGATTACTTTAAAGTTTCACTTCATGGGGTGCCTGGGTGGCTTAGTGGTTGAGTGTCTGCCTTTGGGTCAGGGTGTGATCCCTGCCTGGGTCCTAGGATCAAGTCCCTTATCAGGTTCCCCACAGGCAGCCTGCTTCTCCCTCTGCTTATGTCTCTGCCTCTCTCTCTGTGTGTCTCTGATGAATAAATAAATAATATATTTTTAAAAGTGTACCCCATGTCTTTTTTTCTTTTTTTAATTAATTAATTAAGATTTTATTTATTTATTTATTTATTTATTCATTCATTCATTCATTCATTCATTCATTCATGAGAGAGACAGAGAGAGAGGCAGAGACACAGGCAGAGGGAGAAGCAGGCTCCACGCAGGGAGCTGGATGTGGGACTCGATCCTGGGTCTCACAGGATCACACCCTGGGCTGAAGGCAGAGCCAAACCGCTGGGCCACCAGGGCTGCCCTATTTATTTATTTATTGGAGAGAGAGAGAGAGAAAATGAAAAAGCCCACAGGGAACAGGGGAGAGCGGGGAGAGGGATAGGGAGAGAGAAACTTGAGCAGACTCCTGGCTGAGTGTGGAGCCTGACATGGGGCTTGACATCAGGACTCTGAGATCAGGACATGAAGCAAAACCAAGAGTTGGGGGTTCAACTGACTATACCACCCAGGCAACCCTCCATGTCTTTAAATAGCATGCAGCTGCTGTTATTACTGAGCTTTTCATTTAGGTATTGTGCTTTGACTTTCTACAATGGAAGATGAAGATTTAGTTGTTTTTTTTTTACTCCCCCTCCACCACACATGTACACCCCTCCCATTACCTTGTTCTCTCAATATAGTTATACATAATATTATTTAGATAACTTGCAATATAATGTGTGTACATTGTATTTATAACTGAAATAAGTAGTAACATACAATTACTTTTATTTCTGCTGCACAGCTTTTTTAAACAATTATTTTGTGTTTGTTCATTGGTTTGTCTCTTCGTTTTATATGTATGATCTGTATGATTATCCTGAGAGAAATACCAGATTCACTACCAATTCAATAAATCTGTTCTCAAGACATTCTAGTACCTTCTGAAATACTGTAGACTGTTTGGCATCTGCCTATAGCCAATGGTCAATCCTTGAATTTTTCCTTCACCTGTCTGGGGATTTCCCTGGTCCCTCTCACATTAGATCACCAGTCCCCTGTACCCTATGTCTTCTTCTTTCCTATTTCTTTATTTTGGTGGGGCACATTCTCTCATAGTTTCCTGAGAACAAGGACATACAAAGATGAATTCTCTAGGCTTTCAAGGTTCTGCAATTTCTCCTCAATGTATCTAGGTGTGGATTTGTAAAAAAGCTATCCTGTTGGGGACTTGTATTTTCTGGATCTAAGAATTCATATTTTTTCTAAAGTCTGGACAATTCTTACTCTTATCTCTTTGAATTTTGCCTCTCCTCCTTTTCTTTATTCTTGTATTCTAGAACTCAGATTTGATGCATGAACCTTCTTATTTCAATATCGAGATCCCTTCAGTTCTCTTTCATATTTTCCATACTTTTCTCTCTCTTTAGCAGTCTGGATAATTTATTCAGGTCTGTATGCCCTTTTGCTGTTTCTCTTTTCTAGATGTCTGTTTAATCTGCCTATTCAGTTTTTAATTTCAAAGACTAAATTTTTAATTTCTGTAAGTTCTGTTTGGTGCTTTAAACAATCACAATCATACAGGTCTTTATTTTTTTATAACATTTTTTAAAGATTTCATTTATTCATGAGAGACACAGAGAAAAAGGAGAAACATAGGCAGAGGGAGAAGCAGGCTTCCTGCAAGGAGCCCAATGTGGGACTTGATCCCAGGACCCCGGGTTCACGTCCTGAGCTGAAGGCGGATGCTCAACCACTGAGCCATCCAGGTGCCCCAGGTTTTTTTTTTTTTTTTCTTTTATTGGTTATTTTATAGCTTTTACCTGATATTCTTTGGATCTAATCCTGTTCATTGCTGTGGAGTTCTTGTCTGTCATTTTGGATTGTAAACTCATTTTCAGGACAGGGCTGGCTGCTGGAATACCACATGACCTAGGCTCTAAGGACATCTTCTTCTGGAGACATTTTATTTCTATGGGCACTCAGTAGCATTAGTTCAGAACTGTTTTTGTTAATTTCTCAGCTTTGGGTTACTCAGACCACATGTATAATGTCAATTTGAGCCTAAAACTCCATGAAGGCAGGCCTATTTTTATAAATTTTCAGAGGGGACTTTTTGTCCTCATGTAGGACTCAAACCAAGAGGACTTAATCTTCTGCATGAGCAGGGGACGATGTTTTGACCCACCATTTCACTGGAGTCTTTGGGGGTCCTAGTTCTGTAAAGATCTGTTCCCATCTGAACACCAGCACCGAAGTCCCTGGTTCCCCGAACTTGGCCATGTGCCCCTTTCCCTGCCTACCCCTCCACTTTGGGCCACAACTGCTCAGCTGCTTCAGCTCTGCTTTCCAGTTCCTCTGTTTGGGGGCTCTGCTGTTTCCTTTATTCTCTTGCAAGCCCTGCCAGGGCATGAAAAGGAAGTTGGTAATATGTGATCCAGCGTTTCTAGGATGTTCTCTAGTAGGGAGGGTTTTCAGGCCATGGTATCCACAGGACTGCCATTTGTACTTTTAAGCCTAGATATAAGGCATTGTGGGAGTTTCAGGGAGGGAGAGTCCATCTGGCTGGGAGGATCAGGAAGGGGAAGGGAAGATGAATATCCAAGCATAGAGACACAGGAGGGGGTGGGGCCCGGCAGGTGCAAAAGCACAGAAGCAGGAAATGATTGTGCAGACATAGAGGAAAGCATGCAGCTCCCTTTTGCTGGTGTATGGTCTGGGAAGGGAAAAATGAGCTTGGAGCTGGACCACAGAGCAGCAGGGAGCTAACTGTTTAAGCCTTACAGCACGGAATGCCACGATCACAAGCTTTGTTTCAGGAAGTTTAAGCTGGAAACACCTCCAGGATGCATGGGTGTGGGTGGCAGCAAGAGGTAAAGGGATTTAGACTTGGAAAGATGCTCCTGGAGGCTGTGGAAAGAGCCCAGGGGTCGGTTGTGAGGCCTGAATGGAGTAGTGGGGGGTAGAAAGGAGGTAACCCCTAGGACCCCCCAGGAGAGATGGTGAGGGAGACTCAGCTGAACCAAATAAATCTGAGTCAAGAGCTGGGAAAAAAAAAAAAGAGCTGGGGAAATAAATAGAAGAAAAGCTAGGCAAGCAAGCATATTTGACTCCTCGAAGATAAATCGACAATTATCGGAGCCATGTTCTACCTTTTAAAATTGTTCAGATACCACCCACAAATGCAAATACACAGTTCTTCCTGCAGCATGCAAGCCAGAGATGTTTTTAGGCCACTCGATGAATAGTTGTCTTTGGATGAGAGACAGCAGTGTTCCGGTGGAGTTCCCAAGAGTGAATTGGGATATGTTTGCCTTTCCTAGAACCTGCTGACATGGCTGAACATGGGACTGATGAGCCGTCCTCCAGGACAGGGAGTCCTGATGGAGAAGGTCAGGTCTTGGAGGACAGATCGTTGCTGCATCAGAGGTTGGCTGTCAGGGAGCTCATTGACACTGAGGTCTCCTACCTGCACATGCTCCAGCTCTGTGCCTCGGACATCAGGAGCCGCCTGCAGCAGGTATCTTGGTGGGCTGCACACAACCTTCCTTAGGCAGACATGGCTCTTGGCTTCTGAGACCCCACGTTGGTTTCGGGGGCAGGCTTGATGGAGGGGAAGGTGTGATGGGTGTGAAGCCACCTGGATATAAGCTGTGTAATTTCTGTGTATTGGCCATGCAACATTCAGCAAGGCCTTTGACACACTGGAACCTTAGTGTATTCGTCTGCTACACAGGGAGAGGAATAATCAGCTCAGAGAATCAAGTGAGCTAATGGATAAAATAGTCCTTTATCGAATTTGAAACAGAGTGCTTAAACTGACCTGTATTGTACTTGTCTCATTTAGAAGATGGCAACATGAAGATATTATTGCTATGATGGGTTTTTATACCTCTTCCCCCTGATTTCAGAAATAATAAAGTTCTCTCTATAAAATGTTAAGTATCCCTTAACATGTAAGCTCCATTAGGTCAAAGACTGTTTAGCTCAATAGCCCCAGATCTGGACTCATAAATCAGAGACTTCAATTAGTGTTTCTTGAATGAATGACATACTGAAGTAGGAAATGTGGGAGGCCAAAATCCTCTCCTATTTTACCCTCCAGATATTAGGAGTTTTCTCTGTAGGCATTAAGCAAACAACTATAGATCCTTACTTATTCTAGCAAAAATAAGAGCATACTCTAGAGATTTTTTCTACAGTTAGGTACTTGATTGTGTATCCAGGATACACACACACACACAAACACACACATACACACACAATCTCCTATATATACCTGTGCACATATAAAGATGTCCTGCTGTGGTATTGCCAGTTAATGGTAGCCAGAGTTCAGAAGACTTCTCAAGATAATGGTAGTGAGTGCCCAGTGTGTCGGAGCTGGAAGGAAGCCCAGCTTTCCACCCTCTGTGACAGATAGGGAACTGACAGAAGAAACATGATGGCTACTAGATCTAGGATAAAACACCAATTCAGCTTTCATTTCATGCTGAGCACTCTGTCTCTTCCTCCCTTCTCATAATGAAAACACCTAATTTATGCATCATTGATAAAGTTTTTCAAAGCCTCACAAACATTCTACTGGGGCAGTCTTCCCAAGAGTAATAGGACCCTGAAGGTATGAATGTTCTGGACTGATCTCCAAGGCCCTCAGTTAAGTCATCTGCTCAACTACCAGAGACTCCTATGGCTTCTTTGTTCCTTCCAGCTGCCCCAGGGAGATCTGGATGTCCTGTTCTCAAACATTGATGATGTCATCGAGGTGAATAACAGATTTCTTCATGATCTGCAAGAGACAGAATCCAGGGAAGAGGAACAAGTGCACTTAATTGGTAAGCAAAAGACAGGGCAGTGGTCAGCCCCAGATTCCTGTGGAACTGTCCTCAGCATGTGGGCATTGCTGAACTGTCACCAGAATTTCAGGGTAATATAGCTCAAGGGGGGTTTCTTTTGGGGATCCCTGAAACACAGCATGTCAGAACTGGTAGGACTCTCAAATAATATCCAGCCCAACCCCATTACTTTACAGAGGAGGGAGTTTACTGGGGCGTAAACACAAGGAGAAACTAATTGGTGAATTCAGGTTCCCATTCTTAAGGGTTGACAAGTTAGTGAGAGAGAAGAGAATTTTAGGTAATAATTTGGAATTTGAAGAAAAGAAACAATTGTAGTAACCTTTGGGTATGACAGTAGTTCCAAGAAGAGGACATTTAAACTGAGACCTGAGTATTAGGAAGGAGATACTTAATAAGATCTGGAGGGAGAGCAGAGAGAATGGTTGTGCAAAAGGCCCTGAGGTAGGGATAGGCCTTAGAGTGAAGGACAGACAGAAAGAACCCTGGTGTGGCTCCAGGGGAGTTCGTGAGGGGAATGTGTTAGGGGATAAGATGGAAGAGGCGGAGAAAGACCAGATCATGTAGGGCCTTCTAGGCCATGGTAAGCAGTTTGGATTTTATTCTGAATGGATGAGAAGCCATTGGACAGTTTTGAGCAGGAAACTGATATGGTCTCATTTATGTTTTTTGATGACCTATTTGGCTGTTGTGGACGGTGGGTTGTGAGAGTGGCAAGAGTGGAAGCATGAAAACATCGGGAGCCTTACTGTTACCCTGGTGAGAAATGGTGGGAGTGTATTCATTGTGGAATGGTTAGGATGACCCTGTAGAGCATAAAAAAGGAGGGATGAGTGGGTATAAACCTCACACACCTGTGTCCCTCATTCTCCCCATCTGTTGCCCTGGGGTCACTTGACAAAACCTCAAGGTCAGGGGTTTCTGAGGGGTGTCAGATGGGGAAGTTAAAGGAGTGCCATATAGAAAAGAGGAGGGGGAGGGAAGGGCACCCAGCACAGTACCCACCCAAGTTCCCTGGCCTTTACATCACCGATCTGCCCTTTCTGAGACATGAATGAGCAGGATTAAAAATAACAAACACACACATTTTTTAGAAAGCCCACTGAGTGTTTACTAAAAGCCTAGCACTATTCCACTGTCCACGTATTAACTCATTTCATTGCAAGAACCCTGAAAGGTAGATGCTGTTACCTCATTTTACAGTTGAGGACACTGAGGCACATAGAAGGGAAATAACCTGCTCTAGGTCACACGGCCAGGGATTTGAACTTGGGCATTCCATCTCTGGAGCCAGTGCTCTCAACAGTGGCACTGAATAGCTTCCACGTACTAGAGAATGAGATCAAAGCCTGTGTATTGTATGTTTATTATTCCTTTGAAAATAGAGTTCCTTATTGAAACAGCAATGTGAATGAGTTACCGTTTCCTATAAAAGATAAATGAATACTAAATTAAGGAACAAGACTTTTTTTAAGTATCTGGGTAGATATTCTCAACTTTCATCATTTTATCCTTATTTCTGTTACTCATTACCACTTATTTGAGTGGGAATCAGTATAGCCTCAGGCTGAAGACACGCTAAAGATCTGGGGACCCTGAGGTCAGGTTCTTCTGTTCTGTGGTTTGAAGTTCAGTGTGCTTCCTTTGTTTAAGTGTCCTTGCTTGCAGTCTCTACCTTCCTGGTTGTTGTGCAGCAGTCAGGATGTCACTTTGTTTCCCAGGCATACCTAGTGACAACTCCATTCCCTGCCTCCCTAGTAGATCTGCCAGATAAAATACAGGTCCCAATTTAATTTAAACTTCAGATAAACAATGAATAATTTTTTAGTAGCAGTACATCCCATGCAGCATTTGGGTCATACTTATACTAAACATTTATTCATTGTTTAACTGAAATTTAGTCCTGTACTTTTTTTGCCTCTAATTTGGCAGTCCTATTTCTTGATGTTTACAGAGTCTACAGAAAATAGCCCCCTCATCCTTTGCCCCTGTGGTTAGCCTAAAAGAAGCACAAAGAATCCACGTGGCTCTTCTCTTTGGTGCACTATGTCCTAGGTCACGACTGCCCTCGCTTCTGCCAGCTCTCTATTCCCCATCCAGTCCCCATGCCTCACTGTGCAAGGAAGACCCTTTTTCCAGTCCTGTAGCCATAGCATTTAAAAAAATTTTCAGACCTCAGGCATGACTGTCTTTACCAGGCTTTTCTCCTCCCAGGTGACTTAGTCCCCCATCCTTTTGACCGAGTCCAACACAACTCTGACCTTCCCAGGAGTCCCTACCCTGGGTTGTCTCATCAGAAGGCACCATGCTGTAGCTGGGTACAGTCCAATAGAAATGCAATTCAAGCCACAAATTTAATTGTAAATTTTTGAGTATTTAGAAAATTAAAGAAGCAGGAGAAATTAATTTTAATGATATATTGGATTTATCCTAGTGTGTCCAAACTAACATTTCAGCATGTAACCAATATAAAAATGATTCATGAGCTATTTTACTTCTTTTTTTGTACTAAGTCTTTGAAATCCGGTGTCTTTTGTATTATACACATTGCAATTGAGCTCTTGTATTTCCAGTGCCTAGAAGCCACGTGTAGCTGGTGACTACCACATTTGGGCAGGGTGGGTCTGATGGGTTGGAGTCTGGCTGGCAAGGCTCTGCCGGCCACAAGTTCCTTCATGTCTCTGAGCCTCAGTCTCTGCCTCTTTGAAATGTGCCATTCGTGACTCTGAGTAACATGTCCTAGCTCTTTCATTCTCACAGTACTGTGACTTGTTGATTACTATTAGTATTATCCCCATCTTACTAAAGGAAAGCCTGAGGCTCAGAAAAGTTAAGTAACTTCCCCAAGGTCCCGCAGCTTGACCAGGCAGGGTTGAGCCCTAACTCTTATCCACCCTGCCTCTCCTTCTCATCTTTCCAGTTAATCCTGGCTACGGGTATTCTTCTGATGCTGGGAATAACTTTTTCACTACTGTGACTTGTTTACAGTCTGTGCCCAGAGGACAAGAGGAAAGGAAACATGTCTGTATTTCTGCATTCCTGGCATTCCTGCTCCTTTGGATAGCTGTGCTTTCTGGGAGTTTGCCTTCTTCGGCCCCTGGTCACATGGGTTATGATACAGTTTCTTTGCCATCAGTCACATTCCCGCTGATGCACACTGGGTTAAGGAGAATGTGAGAACCACCCTAGATGTCAAGGCAACGCCGGGGCTCTCTTAGCAGGGAGGGGTTCTGCAGTTGGCTCATCTCTTAGCATGCAGATTCTTGATAGCTACACTTCTGTGTCCTCTTTCCTATCTTCTCCCTCCTTCTGGGGGCTTCTCCTGAGGCATTCTATCTGAGGATTGGCTGGATCAGAACTGGGGAGGAGGACTGGTCCTGGGTGGCAGTCTCATTGTGGAAATCTTTGCTGAAAGCTGGACCACGGTGGGCAAGGCAACATCCCATGCATCTGACGGGGGCCTAGTCCAGGTCAGAGGCTCAGCCTATAGCTTCAGCAGGCAGTAGGGTCAGCTGGGCTTTCTGTGGTCCACAGTTCCCCACCCTCTTTCATGGCTAACACATTTCTCTTCATCCTAATCACTTCCCTCTAGATGGACAACCAAAGACTCTTGTGGGTACTTGAGGTAGTGTTCTTTTTGTTTTTTGTTTTTTTTAAGATTTTATTTATTTATTCATGAGAGACAGAGAGAGAGAGAGGCAGACACAGGCAGAGGGAGAAGGAGGCTCCATGCAGGGAGCCCGATGTGGGATTCGATCCCGGGTCTCCAGAATCACGCCCTGGGCTGAAGGCGGCACTAAACCCCTGAGCCACCTAGGCTGCCCTTGAAGTAGTGTTCTAACAGCCATTCCCATAACCACTTTGGACACCCTAGTTAAGTCTCAATATAGTATAGATCTCTTTTTTATATTAATAGACTACTTTTTATAATACTTTTAGGTTTATTGAAAAATTAAGTAGAGTATACAGAGTAGACTCTATAGTAGAATGTATCCTCACCCCCAGAATTTTGTGCTTTGCCTGCTCTAAAAATCTTCCTATTCATCCCTCCTTCCCCATCACCATTGGTAAACACTGATCTTTTTCCTGTCTCCATAGTTTTGCCTTTTCTATAATATCATATAGGTGGAATCATATAGTAGGAGGCCTTTCCAGAGTGGCTTCTTTCACTTAGCAATATACATTTAAGGTTTCTCCTTTCTTTTCCTGTCTTGATAACTCATTTCTTTTTTCTCTTTTTAATCACTGAATAATATTCCACTGTATGGACATGGCACAGTTGATGGATTTACTTACTAAAGTACATTTTGATTACTTTCACGTTTAGGCATATTCATTTATTTATGAATAAAGCTGTTATAAACCTTGGTGTTCAGGGTTTTTAAAAAATCATCTTTAAACTTCTTTATTGTGGTAAAATCTACCTAACATATATAGTTTGCCATTTTTCCCATATTTAAGTGGGAGTCTAGTGGCATTGAGTATGTCTACATTATTGTGCAACCATAGTCACTGGCCATCTCCAGAACTGCTTCATTATCGTAAATCAAAACTCTGCACCCTCTAAACCACAACCAGCCTCTGGTAACTCCTATTTTACTTTCTGTCTCCGTGAATTTGGCTACCACTAACTCATCAAAGTGTAATCATACAGTATTTGTTCTATTATATTTTGCTCTCACTTAGCATAGTGCCTTCAAAGTTCTTTTTAAACTTTTTAAATTTTGGGATCCCTGGGTAGCGCAGCGGTTTGGTGCCTGCCTTTGGCCCAGGGCACGATCCTGGAGACCCGGGATCGAATCCCACGTCGGGCTCTCGGTGCATGGAGCCTGCTTCTCCCTCTGCCTGTGTCTCTGCCTCTCTCTCTCTCTCTCTGTGACTATCATAAATAAATAAAATTAAAAAAAAACTTTTTAAATTTTAAAATAATTTTAGATTTATAGAAAAGTGGCAAATATAGAGGTCCTGTATAACCCTTGATCTAGTTTCCCCTGATTTTAACATCTCAGATATTCCAAGTACAATTGTTGATACCAGGAAATGAACATCATTGCAATGCTGTTAACGCTACAGACCTTATATTTCACATTTTCCCAGCTTTCCTATGAATGTCTTTTTTTCTGGTCCAGGATCCAATCTAGGTTACCACGTTTCACTTTATTGCCATGTTCTCTTAGCCTTCTTTAGTCTTGTCTGTCCTTTGTGACCACAATACCTCTAAAGAATCTGAGCCAAGTTTGTAGCATAGCCCTCAATTTGAAGTTTTCAGTTATTAATATTGAAATGATTTTATAGATCTTATGAAAGTTTATGGTAGTAAAATATATATTTTATAAATTATAAAAATGTATATTTTATAAACATTTTATATATTTATAAAATTAAAGTGATTTTCATTCTTAAGTTGAGGTTATGCATTTTTGGCAATAACATCATGGCCAGCGTCCTGTCCTCCTTAGTGCCTCAGAACAAGGGCACATGATGTTGCTATGTGTTATTACTTAGAATAATGTTAACTTTGTTTTTTTGTTTGTTTTTGTTATTTTTAGATTTATTTATTCATGAGAGACATAGAGAGAGAGAGAGACAGAGACAGAGACAAAGACATAGGTAGAGGGAGAAGCAGGCTCCATGTAGGGAGCCCAATGCGGAACTTGATCCTGGACCTGGGGATCATGCCCTGAGCCAAAGGCAGATGCTCAACCACCGAGCCACCCAAGACGTCCTGAGTAATGTTAACTTTGATCACATTGTTGGTAGAAGGTAATATCTTCTATGTTTTTCTGCTATAAGGTTACTATTTTCCTCCTTGTAATAAATAGCTTATGGAGAAAAACTTCGATATTATGCAAATGTCCTATTTCATTGTAAACTTTCACCCATTATTTTTAGCATCCAGCAGTGGCTCTTGCTTACAATAATTGTTACTGGTGTTCTCATGGTAATTTCTTTATAGCTTATTCCTTCTACACTTATTTTTTTAAAGATTTTATTTATTTATTCATAGAGATGCAGAGAGAGAGAGAGAGAGAGAGAGAGAGAGGCAGAGACACAGGCAGAGGGAGAAGCAGGCTCCATGCAGAGAGCCTGACGTGGGACTCGATCCAGGGTCTCCAGATCACGCCCTGGGCTGCAGGCGGCGCTAAACTGCTGCACCACCGGGGCTGCCCCCTTCTACACTTATTAATTGCAGTTTTTCTTCTCGCCTATTCACTTGTTCAATTATTTATTTATGTCAATATGGACTCTTGGACATTTACTTTGTTCCATGAGTCAGAATCTAGTACTATCATTATTTATTTTCTTGTTCTGATTGTACCAGTTTTGGCCATTGAGAGCTCCTTCAAGTTGGCTCCCGTGTCCTGTGTCCTGTCAGTATGCCTCTAACAATTTTTGAGTGCATCCTGTTTTCTGACACCACAAGATGTTCCAGGCTCATCTGTATTTCCCTGCCCCATCTTCGGAATCAACCATCTCTCCCAGAAGCCCTGGTTCCCATTTGGGGGGGAATGGTATTTAGACACCAAGCTCTAGGCTGTAGGTGTGCTCATTGCCCCTGGGGTGTCATTGTTGCTTTGCCCTGTCAGCTAATAGAGCTAGGAAATATATACATACTAACGTATGCATATACGCTTATCTATATTTCTTTCTATATCTATCTATCTTTATCTATATATTTAAAACCATGAGTTCAGGGGCACCTGGGCAGCTCAGTGGTTGAACATCTGCCTTTGGCTCAGGTCGTGAACCCGGGGTCCTGGGATCGAGTGCCACATCAGGCTCCCCACGTGAAGCCTGCTTCTCCCTCTGCCTATGTCTCTGCCTCTTTCTCTGTCTTTCATGAATAAAAAACAATGAGTTCATACTGATACCTACAATTCCAGTCCATTCACTCCATGCTCACCTCTCATCCCTTTGATCCTTTCCCATTCCCTCATTCTTTCTACCCCACTCCATCCACCTGCTACAGGTAACCAATCTTATAAATTTCTGATTTAAAAATATGAATACTTCACAGATTTGCCTATTATTCTTGTGCAGAGACTACGCTAACTTTGGTATATGTGCTGCTGAAATCGAGCACTAGAGTGATCTATTTATTTATTTTTAAAAATATTTTGTTTATTTATTCATGAGAGACACACAGAGAGAGGGGCAGAGATGTAGGCAGAGGGAGAAGCAGGCTCCGTGCAGGAAGCCCGACGTGGGACTCGATCCCAGGGCCCCGGAATCACGCCCTGAGCTGAAGGCAGATGCTCAACTGCTGAGCCACCCAGGCGTCCCTAGAGTGACTTATTTATTTTTTTATTTTTATTTTTATTTTTTAAAAAGATTTTATTTATTCATAAGAGACACAGAGAGGGAGAGAGGAAGAGAGGCAGAGACATAGGCAGTGGGAGAAGCAGGCTCCATGCAGGGAGCCTGATGTGGGACTCGATCCTGGGACTCCAGGATCATGCCCTAGGCCGAAGGCAGGTGCTAAACCGCTGAGCCACCCAGGGATCCCAGAGTGACCTATTTAAAACAGAAACCAGATCACCTCTGCTCAAACCTCTCTTATTGCTTCTAGCCACCATTGGAATAAAATCCAAACACTTTACTCTATCTAACCTACCTACTTTGAGGCCCCATGTGATCTGGTGTTAGTTTCTTTTTGTTTTCTCTGCTTTGTGCCCTTGTTTGGTCTGGCTATTCTTGCCTTCTTGCTGTTGTCCTTATGTCCAGGCTTCTCCTGCCTACAGTTTAAAGCCCTTTGCATTTTTCCTTCCGTAAGCCTGGAGTGTAGCTTCCACTATACATTTCCAGGGCCAGGTGGTTCTGGTCTCTGCTAAACATGCACATCTTCATGGAGGCCTTCCTTAAATAGATCTTTCTTTCTTTCTTTCTTTTTTTCTTTTCTTTTCTTTTCTTTTCTTTCTTTTCTTTTCTTTCTTTCTTTTTTGATCTACTACTTTCTAACACCTTCTATTGATTCTTGGTATCATCACCTAACATATGCAGTATATTTACTTATTGTCTGTTTTCCCCACTGGAATATAAGCTCCATTAGGCAGAGGCTTTGTTTTGTTCACAGAGCTTGGAAGAATGCCTGCATATAATCCATAAATAAGCTGTTGGTAAATATTTTGTGAATAAAATTTCTGTCAGGTATTTTTACATGCATTATTTGATTTATTCCTAACAAAACACTAGGAGGTAAATACTGTTTTTATTCCAGTCTATGGATAAGAAAATGGAGGGTCCAGGAAGTCAAGTGCTTGCGCTAGGTTGCGCCACAGGGGAAGGATTGACTGGAGATCTAGCCCTAGTTTTCTCTGACTCCAAAGCCCATATTTGTGACTATCTGTGCTCTGCTAAAGTGTGTCTTTGTAGATTGGAGGTTTGAAGTTGTACTTGTCACACATGGTGATTATAAAGGTATAACACAAGTATACTGTGTTTGCATATGGTTTGTAAACTGTAAGGCAAATATGAGAATTATTAATATTATTGCCATTATGACAGCTACCCTTTATTAAGACTCCCAGTGCACCAGCCTGAAGCTCTGCATCATTCTGTCACTTAATCCTTATGGCAGGCAGCCTTTTGAAAGTGAGATTAAAAAAATGGAAACTCAGGAAGAAAGGGTAACTTGCCCAAAGTGGCAGAACTGGCTAGACCTTTCTCACTCCAGAGCTGAGGGCTTAGCCATCTCACCACCTCTGTGTCCCAAGTAAGGGAACATACAGATATGCCTTTGAGGGCTTCTTATTGCTTTTTCACCATCAGGTAACTTATTCCTGAAATTCCAAGAGGAGTTGGAACAAGTCTACAAGGTCTACTGTGCCAGCTACGACCAGGCCTTGCTGCTGGTGGAGGCCTACCGGAAGGAGCCAGAGCTGCAGCGACAGATCCAGGGCATCATTGAAACAGTGGTGTGAGTAGAATAACCAGTGAGCACTGGCTCCTGCTGCCATTGACCTTGAGGTTGGGAGCTGTCAAGGTCTCACCCCTCCTTGGTGCTGCTCATGCTGCTTCAGGAGTATCTTAGGTTAGGTTGCGGAGACAAACAATTCCCAACTCTCAGTGGCTTCAAATAACAAAGGTTTATACCTTCCTTATGCTCTACTGTGGTTGACTTGAGCCTCTTCTCTCTGCCATCCTCACTTTGGGACCTAAGCTGACATGTGGCCCTCTCTGGATTATTGCCAATTACTGTGGAAAAAGACAAAAGAGCTCTGGAGGGCCTGATGCTGGTAATTAAGTGCTCCAGACTAGAAATGATATTCATCACTTCTCATAATTCATGGGCCAGAACTAATCACATGGCTATGTCCAACCACTGGGAGGCCAGGGTGTGCTACCCTGCCAGGGTGTCCAGAGGTAGAGAAGCAGAAACATTGGGTGAACAGCACTCATGTCTCCCATGGGAAGGGCAGTGAGACGGCGGGAACTATGTGCTGTAGGTGGCAGTGGTGTGAAGCAGGTTTGTATTACCTTGGAAGGCCTTTCTATAGATAGCTGAAAACTGCCCCATGAAACAGAATCAAAACTGCCCTGAGGGGCCTCACTGCCCAGAGCTGGCATCAGTGGGTAGAAGATATTTTTTATTCTTTATTTTTTCAAATATTTTATTTATTCATGAGAGACACACACACACACACACAGAGAGAGAGAGAGAGAGAGAGAGAGGCAGAGACACAGGCAGAGGGAGAAGCAGGCTCCATTCAGGGAGCCGGATGTGGGACTTGATCATGGGTCTCCAGGATCAGGCCCTGGGCCGAAGGCAGCGCTAAACCACTGAGCCACCCAGGCTGCCCCTAGAAGATATTTTTTAAATTAAGATTTTGAACGGATAATAGTTACATAGTTCAAAAGCTTTAAAACATCCACATTTATGCAGCAAAAAATATATATATATTGTGTCCTGTCTAATCAAGTCCCTTCATCCATACAAATACTACTCCCAGCCCTAAAGTAGAGGTAACCACTTGTAAATTGCTTAAGGATCTTTGCAGCGTTCCTTAATACATATAGAGCAAATATAAGTATATACTCTTATTTTACTGCCTTTTTAAAGAAAGTTTATTTTTTTTTTCACTTATCATATGTCTTGGACATCTTCCCATTTCAATATATACATGTATAATACTTTGAATAGCATGTTCTTCTACCACATGGCTGCTCCCCAGTTTATTTAACTAGTCTCTATTAATGGACAGTGGTTTGCTTCTTTTCTTTTGATATTACAGATAGTGTTCAGTGATTATTCATGAGCATATGCCATTTTAGTTAGGTGCAAGTATTTTTTTAAGATTTTATTTATTTATTCATGAGAGACACACAGAGAGAGAGAGAGGCAGAGACACAAGCCGACTCCATGCAGGGAGCCCGATGTGGGACTTGATCCCCAATCTCCAGGATCACTCCCTAGGCCAAAGGTGGTACTAAACCGCTGAGCCACCCGGGCTGTCCAAGTGCAAGTATTTTTTTTTAAGATTTTATTCATTTATTTTAGAGAGAGTGCATGTACATGAGTGAGGGGAGGGGCAGAGGGAGAAAGACTCTCAAGCAGACTCTGTGCTGAGTGCGGAGCTCCATGCGGGCCTTGATCTCTTGACCTTGAGATCATGACCTGAGCAGAAATCCAGAGTTGGATGCTCAACCAACTGAGCTACCCAGGTGCCCCATAGGTACAGGTGTTTCTGTAAGGTAAATGTTCAGACATGGACTTCTTACTCAAAGAAAGTATGTATGGATAATTCTGGTATTGCAAAATTTCCTTCTGTAAGGGCTATACCAGGTTACATTCCTATGAGCAAGATGTGGGTGTCTGTTTCCTCATAGACACACCAGAGTGTGTCATTAAACTTTAGAATATTTGCAACTGAGAGAGGTGACAAATGGTGTCTCAATGTGGTTTCATTTTGCATTTACTTCTTATTATTAAAGTTGGTCATTTCTTTGTATATTTAAAAGTGGTTTATATTTCCTTGTCTGGGATTGTTCTTTTCTATTTCAAAAAGTCTTCTATCTTCCCTCAGGACAAGCTCCCCAAATGGAGATAGATGAAGGTCATTTTCTGATAATCAGAATAGTGTAGGAGGAAGAGAGGCTACTATTATTTCATCTTACTTAGATGTTCCCTTTACACCCAGAGAAAGGCCATGTAGATTTAGATCTTTGGAGATGACATTGCCTCCTGTGGAAGTTCCTACTGCCTCCCCTTCTCCCTTGCCTATCCCCTTAACCCCCTGAAGCCTCCTTTTCAAGTACCCATGTCCTGGCCCCTCCCAGCTGCTCCCCCCCCCGCCAGAGTACATACACTCCCCCCCACTTTTTTTTTTTAAAGACTTTATTTATTTATTCATGAGAGACACAGAGAGTGGGAGGCTGAGACATAGGCAGAGGAAGAAGCAGGCTCCATGCAGGGAGCCCGACGTGGGACTTGATCCTGGGACTCCAGGGTCACGCCCTGAGCCAAAGGCAGACACACTCAACTGCTGAGCCACCCAGGTGTCCCACACTTCCTCCCTTTGGTACATCCTTCCATTGTTCTTACAAATTTAGATTTTTGCAAGGTCACTAAATACATTTCAATAGGAAAGTAGCAGGTTACAAAAATGAGGAAAGCAAGGAGGCGGATGTGGAGCAAAAGGGAGCAGTGGAGACTGCAGCCAACCAGAGCCAACAGATCCTGTGTAGAGACAGACTGCAGCCCAGCCTCTCCCTTGGGCTGCTCTATCGAGAAGCTTTTGTTATGTAAGGGACCATCCCAAAACAGAATGGCTTAAGACAGACATTTATTTGGCTCACGCTGCTGCATGTTAGCAACGTAGCTGGGCTCAGTAGATGATCCTTCTAGCCCTGGCTGCGTACTTCATATGCCTGTCATCAACTGTAGGTCAGCTTTGCTGATCTTGGCTGGGCTCTCTTGTGTATCTGAGACACGTGAGCTGACTCAGCTCTGGTCATACAGCCTCTCATCATCTGGCAGGTGGCCCAGGCTTGTTCACATGGTGGTCACAGGTGAGACAGGGAGAGAGCAGAAGGGAGGGCAGAGGAAGGGGGAGGGGGGCAGGGAGGGACTTTGGAGGTCTTGGCTGGGAATCGGCATGCAGTGACAGACCCAAGGGGTGGAAAAATAGACCCGACTGTTCAAAGGGAGGAGCTCCGAAGACATATTCAAAGTGTGTGGATACAACAGTAGCCACCACAACAAAGGATGTGAATACAGAGAGTCGAATAATTACAGCCCTAGTTTACAAACCATCTGCCTCAGTTGCCGTGTAGGAATATGAATCCACTGTGGCCAGATCCTCTTGACTTTTTGAAAGAAGTCAGAAACTTTGATATAACATCTCCCAGGTGCCAAATACTGGCATTTAGCTCAGACATGTTGGAAGCACTGTCCAGGGGCCCTGGTTGGCACAGAGGCTGCTGTTTGTCATGCTTTCCACACTCTGGTCTTTCCCAGCCAGACCAGTCCAGGCTTTTTCATGGGCCCTGGTGCCACAATGCCCAGTGGCCAATCTGACTCTGCCAAGGTGAATATAATTCACCTTGGCAGAGCCATTTCATGTCTCAGAACCTGGTTTCCTTGTGTGTAAAGGGGGCATAATAACTATACCTCATTGGGGTATGGACTCATGGTACCCAAATGACACTGTAAACCCCAGTTGTCTTGTCTAGGCAGGGGTTGTATTTCTCTGAAACCACACTGTGGCTCTCGGCTCTACTGGTTTCAATGCTCCTTTTTAAAAAAGAATTTTCTTTATTTATTTTTGAGAGAGAGAGAGAGAGAGAACAGCAGGGGGAGCAGCAGAGGGAGAAGCAGGCTCCCTGCTGGGAGCCTGATGCAGAGCTCAGTTCTAGGACCCCAAGATCATGACCTGAGCCAAAGGCAGATGCTTACCTTTTTTTTTTTTTCTAAGAGAGGGAAAGAGAGGGAAGGAGGGAAGGGTTGAGGGTAGTGGCAGAATGAGAGGGAGAGAAAGAATCTTAAGGAGGCTCTACACTCATCACAGAGCCCTATGAGGGCCTCAATCTCATGACCCTGAGATCATGACCTGAGCCAGAATCAAGAGCCTCATACTCAACCGAGCCACTAAGGTGTCCCTCAATGCTCCTTTTTTATAACAAACATTAAATTATCATCCTGACATATAGTCTTGAAATATATATATGTGTATATGTATATATATGTGTGTGTGTGTGTGTATATATATATTCTACATATATATATAGAACTGGAAAAAATCAATATACTGGCTTAACTGTAATAAAAAGGAGAAGTAAAAGGAAAATAATGTCTAATAAAGTGATATTATTTCAGTGTGCAAATGCTTGGGCACCACTACCCGAGAAAATCTAACGAAGCAATCAGATGCTGGCACCTACTTATAATAAAGAAGTTTGGATTCAAGGAAGGAAAAGTCAGAAACCATTCCCCATAAGAAGTATCAAAAAAGGAAAGAGCAGAGAATGTGCATGCCCTAGCATGACAAGTAGCAATGAGAGCAAATTTGACCTCCTGGTGTATGATAAGGAAAAGAACGAAACAATATAAATGACGTAGGGATAACATTACATTCTAGGGGGCAGAGGATGTGAGGAAGTAGGATGTATGATGTTCTTGCAGATGATCTGGGTCTTGTTTATGAAAGGTAGCATCCTGAAAATTTCCAGCGTTGTGGTAAGTAGATGGAATTGAAGTGCCACAAAAAAAATCCCAGTTCTTGAAATCGCAATTGCAATCTTGAGGCATTTGTTCAGTCTGTGTATGCTCACAGGGACATAGGAGACACAGCACTGTTGTCCATGATGCAAGGCTGACCTTGCAGATGGCCTGCTGCTCTGGTCCCTGCCCACTGAGTGCCTAGAACAGCCCAGTGCCTGCACATTTCCACCATGCCCTCAATGAGAGCCTGTGCTCTAAAGCTGCACCAGGAATGCCATTCTTCCTGCCAGCATTGCTTTTCAGCTATCTCTTGAAACAATAATCCTGGCTTTCTTGTGTGATCATGGGACTCTTTCTGGAGCTTAGCCAACTGGAATCACCACACCAACTATGAAGTGGTCTTTCTCATCCAGTCAGGATGGATGATACCATCTAATCAGATTCTTAGTGATTCCAAAATGCATGCTGCCCCCTACCCTTTATTTGGGTGGGTGAGTGGGTGGAGTGTTTAATTTATCCTGTCTCTTAATGCAGCTCCTGCATTAAGGGGGTCAAGGGCTTGCCCTGGCAGGAGGCAGAAGTTCTGCAGCTAGCAGCAGGGAAGAGACTGGCCTGCAGAGGCAAGCACAAAGCACCCACAGTTTCAGAATGATGGCTGGGGCAGTGTTCGGAGAAGGCAGAGAGTCTTTGTTTTCCTTCATTGGCAATCTTGGCAATCTTTGTTTTAAATATAAAAGTAATGTATGCTTACTGATAAAAAGGGACTATTCAAACAAACACAGATATATAAAGAAAGAGTAAAAAAGTCCATCATCCCTTGGTCTCACATTTCCTCATCCCTCCACCTGATAGTTAACCTTTTCTATCCAGACTTCCTTCTGTTCATTTACAGACAGACAAGATGGATGGAAAGGAAGTAAGGGAGAAATTTTAAGGGACTCCTATTACACATGCTTTTTTAGAACTTACTTTTTCATTTTTTATAAAGATCTTATTTGTTTATTTTAGAGGGAGAGGGAGAGGATGTGGGAGGAGGAGCAGAGGAAGAAAGACGAGTAGACTCTACACTCAGGACAGAGCCCGATGCGGGCCTGATCCCACAACCCTGAAATCATGATGTAACCTGAAGTGAAGAGTCAGACACTTAACCAACAGATCCACCCAGGCACCTCAGGAACTTACTTTTTCACTTTTTCACATAACCATGGTTATAAATATCTTTTCACGACCCTAGGAGTAGTTCTACTGTGTTCTTGTTAATGGCAGCACAGTTCCTTTCCAGGGTGGCTCACAGACTATGGTCTTTTAATGACGAAGCCCCTGCGGATAGGTATCTGGTTTGTTTCCAGTTTTTTACTGTGATAGAGTTGCTGGTAACTTCTGCTTTTATCTTTGCTCCCTTGAGTTGACATTTCTGTGGATAAATTTCTGGAGTAGGATGATGGAACAAAGGATTTGTACATTTCACAAATTGCTAAACTGCTCTTCAAAAAGAATTTACCAATCACTGCTCCCACCAAGAGAATATAAGTGGGCCTATCTCCCTGTACCCACCCAGCTCTGGGAATTATCTATCTTTCTTTACTTTGCTTTGGCTTTTCTTTTCTTTTCCTTTCTTTTTATTGAAGTTCGATTTGCCAGCATATGGTATAATACCCAGTGCTCATCCCATCAAGTCTTTTCTTTTTTTTTTCCTTTGTTTTTTATTTTCTTTCTTTTCTTCTCTTTTTTCTTCTTTGTTGGGGAAGGGGGATTATCTTTTAATTTGTGTTGCCTATTTGACATGCCGCTTAAAAAATTTTCTTCAGGGCTGCCTAGGTGGCTCAGTGAGTTAAGCATCTGACTCTTGATCTCAGCTCAGGTCTTGAACTCGGGGTCGTGAGTTCTAGCTCCATGTTGGGCCTACTTAAAAAAAAATTTTTTTCCCCTCCAGATTACCTTAGAAAAACTGTAAACATAAAAGGCTGCCATGATTCTGTTGTGACTCCTTGATAATTGTGGAGAACTGTGATCATCTCTTTGAAGACCCCCTGTGCTCTTATTTGTGGAGTGACGGCTGTCCCCATGAGGCAGTTGGCCCTTTCCCATGGAAAGTAAGCCCAGAGGACAGAGTTTTGCAGATATCTGGTGACTTTCCATCTCCCCTGCCATGGTCAGCCAAGTGCTAGGAAACCCGTGGTGAGAGCAGATGGTCAGCGTAGGCATGTCCTGACAGGTAATCCTACCCCTGCCACTCCCCTAACACCCCACAGCTAATGAGGAGCACCCACCTGCTCTGCCTATTCTTAGCCTCACGACTGCTTTCCTGGATATTTGGACCGGAAATATTTCCTTAGGAGGAAGAGCAAGAGGCAAGGGTACCATGGAGAGGGGGCCAGAGAATGGCTGTGAGCAGCATCTGTGAGTCTTCTTGGAGGAGGAATGCTTAGACACTGAAGCTTGAAACTTCTTGAAAGGCAGATCTGAGGGCCACTGGTCATGATCAAGGGAAGACTAAGGGAGCCTTTCCCCAGACGCCATTGACTTGGGCACTCTTTCTGCAAATCCCAGACAGGAGCAAGAAAGGAACTAGAAGTAGTCGTTCACTTATCAGTAGTGCATCTGGAAGGGATCTTGACACTACTCATTCTTGGGTTTTGTTTTTTTACTTTTTTCAGTGAAAATTTTCACACTTGTAGAAAAATAGAAGAATGTAATAAATATATACCAGTCTTTAAAATTAATCAATGTTAACATTTTGCTTCATCTATTTTTAAGCTAAACTATTTTAAAGACAAATAATAGACATCATGACCTTTTACCTTTAAATACTTTAAATGCATCTCTATAAACTTAGAATTCCTGTGGTTTTTTTTTTAAACTTTCAACTTTTAAAGCTGCAGAACCATTTTATTGAATGAAATATCAGATGGATGTCCAGCATACAGAGTTGTGCTTGGGACATAGTCCAGTGGATATGTCACACAGGCAGTTGACTGTGTGAGTCTGGTGCTCTGGACAGAAACTGGAAATGGAGGTCTGGGTTGGGGATGTGTTTAGAGTCATAGGACTAAATGAACTCAGTAAGAGAGTGAGCCGAGGTGGGTGAAGGTTCTAGGGCACTCTGGCATTGGAGCAAGTCTAGCAGAGGAGGCCAAGAGAATGGCCCATGGAACAGGAAGAGCAGGACCAAGGGTACCTCTGGGGCTAGAAGAAGAAAGTGTTTCAAGAGCAGGGATTAATCAGCTGTGTCTGCTGCTGAGAAGCCAAGGAGGCAGAGGACAGAGAACTGATCATTACATTTAGTACAGATGGGGGACCAGGGCCCAGAACTAGCAGTGCCTGTCTAGCATCTAGATCTCCCGCATTATAGATGAGGAAACAGAACCACATAAGGAGGTTGACTTGCCTGAGAGCACACAGTGAGTTAAATGGCAGAGCTGGGCCTAGAGCCCAGGGCTCCTGGTGCCCAAAAGGGTGGGCTTTCCCTACCTAACGCCAGCCTTCTCCCTCAGGCCACAAGCTGGGCCCTCAGGCCTCAGTTTCTTACTGGTAATCCCTCTGCAGAGGATTACCAAGTACCCATTGCTGCTGCAGAAAATCCTGGAGAACACAGTCCCTGACGCCAGTGCCTACCCTGTACTTCAGAGGGCTGCCTCTGCCCTCCAGGACGTGAACACCAACATCAATGAGTACAAGAGGCGCAAGGAAGTGGGTAAGGACTTGGGGGATTTAGGGGCTATATCAGTAAGAATGCTTCCAGCTACAAAAACACTAATCTCAAACTATCTTCATTAATAAAGTAAATGTAGTGGCTCCTGTAACCTCAAGTCTGGAGGTAATAGGATTTTAGGTAGGGTTTGATGAGGGTGCTGGCTCCATTTCCCTATAACTCTCTCATCTGGGCTCTTTACTGTGTGTCAGCTTCATCTTTAGGCTGGCCTCCCTCGTAATAGTAAATGACTATTGCTGTTCTAATACTCATATCTGCACACCACCACCACCCCACGCACCCCCAGCATAAAACAGGGCCTTTCTTCGACTGACATTCAGATAGGTCCCATTTGGGTCATGTGCTCACCCTGAACCAATCACCATGGTTAGGGGAATGTCATGAGCTGATTGGTTAGGGTAATGTCATGAGCCGATTGGTGTAGACCTGGCTTATGTATTATTCTTGGAACCAATGACTGTGGCCAGGGGGTTGGGACTATATGAATTGATTTATCCCAGCTAGCACCCACCTCCTGAACCAAAGTAAGATCAGTCCCATGCAAACCACATGGGTGTTATGCTGTGGAGGAGAAATGAATACCAAGGAATCCAAGAGATGTGTATATACCTTGGGAAGGGCAGCTAGTGCGTGGGGAACTCTGTCTCCCAGATTGTTAAAACAGAAAGGTTTGGAAAATGAAGCAGTGTCCCAAGTAGAGAGTAAACTCACTTGCACGACCTATACAGTATAATAGTGATAATTTAGCTCATGATTACTAAGGGCTGTGACACATCTTTCATTCATTATCTGGTTTGATCCTTAGCTACCCTCCGGGGCTGGCAGTGGCAGCCCCATCTCACAGGTCAAAGGAAAGCTTAAATCATTTGCTCCAGATCATAGAGCCGGTGAAAGGCAGAGCCGGGTTTCACACTCAGGCCCAGGGTGGTGTGACGGATCAGTGAAAGGCCCTGCACCAGGAGTGGGGAAGCGTGGTTCCTAGCCTGGCCTGGCTGACCATGGCCAAGGAGCTTCAGGCCAATCATCTCTCTCTTGAGTTATTTAGAAAGTCCATTCAGACCCACTGTCTTATGTGATCCACCTGGCAATCATGTAAGGTAGCCGGTCTCATTGTACAAATGAGGAACAGCCCCAAGAAGTGGCGCCTTGCTAAAGTCAAGCAGACAGGCAGCTGTTCCGCCAGAGCTCACACCTTGGAACAAGCCCTGGGCTTTTCCTCTACAAGTTGGGGTTCTAACAGGCGTGCCACTGATGTTTGAGAAGAGAGCCCAAGTAGATGCCTAGCCAGGCATATCTGGGCTGCCTGCTTTCCTGGGTCAGCTTTGGTCCCCATGCCTTGACTCTCCTCTGTTGGCGCAGCCTCCAAGTACACCAAAGTGGAGCAGCTGACCCTCCGGGAGCGGCTGGCCCGCCTCAACACACACACCCTCTCCAAGAAGACCACTCGGCTGAGCCAGCTGCTGAAGCAGGAAGCAGGGCTCGTGCCCAAGGTGAGCGTGGATGGAGAAAGGGTAGCATCCCAGTCATTCCACAGGGGCAGGTGGCTTAGATTACTTTCAGAGATGAGGAAGCTGAGGCTAAGGGACTAAAATGACCTCTGAGCACTGCGTCACCAGGCAGAGGCCAGGGCAGGACTTTCTCCACTGTATCCTGTGCTACTATTTCTCTGAGTTTCTTTTTACGCAGATAGGAGAGCTAATCTCGGGTCCCGGCAAGGAACCGGCCTGGACTAGCTACTAGTAGCTAGTTCAGGTTGATGGAGTACTTACTCTAAATCAGGCATTATTTGATCAACACAATGAAATAGGTGTTTTTATTACCCCATTTGCAGAAGAAGAAACAGACTTGGGGAGAGTAAAACACTTGCCCAAGGTCACACAGCTAGGAAGCAAGTGAACCAGGACTCATATGCTCATATATCTGATTCCGTGGCCTGAGTACAAAACCATTAAGTTGTACTCACTGCCTCTAACCGTCCCACTCATCTTTAGGGCTGGAGGACCTGGTTTTGATGGGTGGGGCTGTGGAAAGGTGGTCCCCAATGAGAGCTTGGGACATGGCCATGAGTGTATACTACTCCCCTCCTCCCTCCCCAGGCATGGATATTCTCTGCTCTCACAAACTTCACTCTCCTCTCAGACAGAAGACAAGGAATTTGATGATTTAGAAGAGAGGTTCCATTGGGTGTCGCTGTGTGTGACGGAGATGAAGAACAATATGGCTGTCTACCTGGATAATCTGGAGGTGAGATCCTGCAGTTAATAATGGCTGGGCTGGGCTGGGTCCCCTAGGCAGGAGGCATGCAGGGCCCATCTGCCAAGCTGGTAAAAGCACCAGCTGCAGGAACCAAATGGATGTGGTCACCCAGTCTCTGGCTGCAGGTCAGAAGAAGGGCCACAGGCAAGCACTCCCCAGTTTCTGAACTCATTGAGCTCTTAGGGGGTAAGGTTCCCACTGGCCAGGATTAAAATTCACTGGGGTCTGAACCCTCCAGAGGGACCCTGCCAGTCTGGCACCTGGAGCAGGTAACAAACTCAGGTGCCTGAAAGAGTCAGGCAGGTAATATTATTAAGTGAAATGTGCAGGTGTCTGAGGCTTAATGTGTGACCAGTTGTTTATGAGACTTTACAGTAGAGTTAAATACATAATAATATTTAGAATTTGACTGACTGAATGTATGGATGAATCAGATCTAAAGGGGCAGCTGTTACTTGGCTTAGAGAAGCTGTTGCTGTTTGGGAATCTGGAGCCAGGGTAGCCAGTTCTGATTTTAGGGGGAAAAAAACAACTTTCAGATGAAATCTCATGATCTGTCCATGTGAGCAACAAATTAGATGAAAACTTAAATGCTATACAGGCCCAAGAAAATGTAGCCCGCAGGAAACCAGCTTGCATGCCATCCAGCTCAACATTTTCCTTGTGCCAAAATCCTCCTTCACTTTTGTCATCGATGCTGACTCATTCCATCCCTTTCGTCCCTTCCTGTGGTTCTCAGTCATGTCCATTTGCACAAAGCAGCTTGGTCAGATGATAACAGGCTCTTTGGATAATGGGATTTGGGGTAGCCTTCCAGGAAGTGTGGAAAATGAGACAGGTCATAGTTGCAGGCCCGTCTGTGAGGGGCAGGTCCCCCTGCTTGTTCCTGCTCCATCCTGGGCCCCCCAACAGAAGGCAGCAGGATCCTGTCACAGTACAGCGAGACAGGAGGGGAAGGCTCTCAGAGCCCACAAGAGAGAGGATGGAGAAGCCATGAGAGAGAAAGCAGAGGCACGTGGGAGACACATCTGGCTTTGCAGAGTAGGACAGGTATTTGGAAGCATTAGGCTATGTTTCCCCGGATGCAGGCTTACATGACAACACAGTGTAGTTGTAGAAGCCCATAGCAAGCACATGACTCCCTTTAATCCTCTGAGTCCAGGAGAAGCTTCTTGTTTTGTTTTAACATTTTATTTAGTCATTAGAGATAGCAGGAGCAGGGAAGAGGGGCAGAGGGAGAAGCAGACTTCCTGCTGAGCAGGGACCCCAGTGTGGGGCTGGATTCCAGGGTCCTGGGATCATGACCCTAGCCAACGGTAGATGCTTAATGGTCTGAGCCACCCAGGCATCCCCAGGAGAAGTTTCTTTTGCTGGTATCTCTTTAACACAGGCAGAGCCAGTCTTGGATTGGGTGTTGTCTGCAGGCAGTGACATCCAGACAGAACTTAATGACATTGTTTGTTTTGATAGCAATTATTCTTTTTTTTAAAAAAAGATTCTAATTTATTCATTCATAAGAGACACAGAGGGAGAGGCAGAGACATAGGCAGAGAGAGGAGAAGCAGGCTCCATGCAGAGAGCCTGATGTGGGACTCGATCCCAGGACTCTGGGATCACGACCTGAGCCAAAGGCAGATGCCCAACCACTGAGGCACCCAGGCAGACGCCTTATAGCAATTATTCTTTTTTTAAAAAAAATATTTATTTATTCATGAGAGAGAGAGAGAGAGAGAGACAGGCAGAGGGAGAAGCAGGCTCCATGCAGGGAGCCTGATGTGGGACTCGATCCTGGGTCCCCAGGATCAGGCCCTGGGCTGAAGGCAGCGCTAAACTGCTGAGCCACCCAGGCTGCCCTATAGCAATTATTCTTACATGCCTATTTATGCAGTTATTGCTGGTTGCCCGTTGTGGTAATGTCATAAGGTGATTTAAAAAAAATACATTGAGGGATCTCTGAGTGGCTCAGCAGTTTAGCGCCTGCCTTTGGCCCAGGGCACGATCCTGGAGTCCTGGGATCGAGTCCCACGTCAGGCTCCCAGCATGGAGCCTGCTTCTCCCTCCTCCTGTGTCTCTGCCTCTCTCTCTTTATGTCTATCATAAATAAATCTTTTAAAAAATACATTGATATAAATAGGAATGGTTAGTTGATTTCAAGTATTAATAGAATATGTGGACTATGGACATGGCAGTAAAATCACAAAAGTGATATGCAAACACATGAAGTTTGGGAAGCATTGGAATCAGGAGAAAGATGTTGGTTCAGTTTAAGGAAGAACATTCTAATCACCCAAGATGTGCAAGGATGGAAGAGGCTGGGTGCTTCCCTCTCACGGTTGGTGTGCAGAGAGCCCAGAAAATCTCTTCGGGAGTGGGGGTGGGAGGTATAGGTGCAAGAGGGCTACGATGGGTCCTGATTGGCCGTCTCTCTCGTTTGCTCTGGGTCCAGGCTTTCCTCCGTTTCAGGCCCCAGGAATACGATCTGGACATCCCTGGGGGGCCTGTGGTACAGTACTGCAGCCTGATGAGAGAACTCCAGCTGCAGGCCTTCCCACAGTTCGTGAGTGGAGCTTCTCCTTTCCCCTTTCTTGGTGAGACAGGTGATAGAGGGCGTTAAGAATATTTAGGGGCCTCCTGGCTGACTCAGTCAGTAGAGCATGCAACTCTTGATCTCAGGGTCGTGAATTTGAGCCCCAGTGGATTGTCACATCTGTAACCACCCAGAGTAGTCAGCAAAGCGGGGATTATTATTAATGCATTTTACTGATAAAAATAGCCCCAGCTGATGTTTGTTGTGCCTCACTATCTGCCAGGCAGATAAGCTGCTCAGCCCTTTACGTTCCTCATCTCTTTTAATCCTCACAACACAGCTTATAGGGTAGATGCTGGTAAGAGTCTCATTCTGCAGGCAAGAGCTAGAGGCCAAGAGACGATGACTTCCTAAGTTATTCAGATGGTCAGTGAGTAGATGAGATCTGATCCCCAAAGACTGTGTTTGTGATCACCACTCTACAAAATCTCTTAAGATCCGTGTGCAGATGTTAGGAAGTGCCAGGCACTCTGCTAAGCTCATATATGCACTATCCCCATTTTTCAGATGAGTGTGTTGAGGCACAAGAAAGATAACATGCAAGAGGTCAGAGCTAGTTGGTCGGTGTGGGACTGGTGCTACCTAGGTCCCAAATCCCGTTCTCCCAGTGCCTACCCTTTGCCACCTCCTTCCCCAGCCCCAAGCTCACCTCTCCCCACAGAAGCAGCGGCTGGAAGGCCTGGTGTGGCAGCCATTGTGCAGCCTGGCTAAAGCCCTGGCTGGCCCTCAGAACCTGATCAAGAAGCGTCTGGACAAACTACTGGACTTCGAGAGGGTGGAAGAGAAGCTGTTGGAGGCGGGCAGCGTGACATACGAGGAGCAGGAGGCCCGGCACACGTACCAGGCCCTCAACTCCCTCTTAGTGGCTGAGCTACCACAGCTTAACCAGCTGGCCATGCACTGGCTGGGCCAGATCCTGTGCACGTTCGTGGGCCTCCAGCGGGACCTTGCAAAGCACGTGCTGCAGAGGGCAGAGGGCAGCTTGGCCCAGGTGAGGCCTCTGGGACTGGGGCTCCTCTGCAGAATAGCCAGGCAAGGCCTCATAGCGCCTTCAGCCAGCTGTTGGCATGGGCTGGGATGGAGTGAGATTAGGCCATCAGGTGCTCAGGAGGTGGCCCCAGACACCTTCTGGATCTCTCTTGTGCCAGTTCTCCCTGCACTAGTGGAATCAGATCATGAAAGCAAGGATAGAACTGGAACTCCAGGCCATTCATGGGCTCTGGGATTCAGAAGCAAAAGGCTCGGCTGGGAAAATAGCAGACCTTGGGGTCAATCCTTGGAGTGTATTAGAAGTTGGTGACAGAGGCCAGGCCCCTTCTACACAATCAGGGGTAAATGTCTCCAGCTGGTGTTCCTGCCTACTTCTAGAAGCTGCGTCTTCATGAGCACTTACTGCATACCTTCTGTGTATCATCCCACCTCCTCCTCACAGTGACCTTGTAGAGCAGGTAACATCATTATCCTCATTCCAAAAGGAAGTTGAGGCACAGAGAGGTTCAACAGCATGCCCAGGGCCACATAGCTGATGGCAGGATTTGAACCCTGGCAGTTCCACTCCAGAGCCTGGGCTCTGAACAGTGCTTGGCAGCCTATGAGAAGAGCTGGCCCTGGGGCAGTTCCAGCACTCCTCATACCACATGCCATCTCCTGTGTTTCATGGGCCCCAGCTCAGCGGTCCCCCACGCATGCCTCACCACCTCGGCAGCATCTTGTCCCACTGCACACCTATAGTCCTGGTTCCAGCACACCCATTCTGAGCATGACCACATCCCTTTGCATAGACTCCTTCCTTCCTGGAATGCACCCCCAGCCCATTGCCCGCCATGCTAGTGCATGGTGTATGGTAGGAACACCCCAAATATGTGACAGGTGAATGAAGCTCCCCTGAAGCTCTCAGGATCCCCCTCTCCGGCTGGGAGAACTCACCCATCCTCTGTAGTCCAGCAGCCCTTAGGATGTGCAATTCAGCACTTAGCAGAGGTTGCCTTTGGTTGGGGTGCTGGGTGAAGCTGTTTCTCCTTATTGAGGAGGGCTGGTACTGTTGACTTTTATTCTTTTTGGCCTTCAAAGCATTTAGTACAGAGTTCTGTCTCAGACACTCCCTTTGAATTTAATTAAGCCTGAACCATCTGTAAAAAGCGTTCCTCTTTCCTTAAGGCAGAGGGTCAATCTGATTAGCCGATCCTGGCATTCTCTTCCCACCCTCTAGTTTTGTCTGCAGGGCGACCAGGCCCCTCGTGTTTAGACTGGGAGGTGCAGGGCTGGGGACTGTTGCAGAATGCCAATAGCGGGAAGATCAACTTTATAAAAGCAGAAAAAGAAGAAATGTGTGGGAGATATCAGAAAGGGACACAGAACATAAAGACTTCTAACTCTGGGAAATGAACTAGGGGTGGTGGAAGGGGAGGAGGGCGGGGGGTGGGGGTGAATGGGTGGCGGGCACGGAGGGGGACACTTGACGGGATGAGCACTGGGTGTTATTCTGTATGTTGGTAAATTGAACACCAATAAAAAGTAATTTATAAAAAAAAAAAAAAAAAAAAAAAAGCAGAAAGAGGGCCTCTCCTGTAATTTAGAATGTTCGGGCCAGTCAGTGATTGGTGCCAGCTTCTTTGCCTGTGGCTCATGGCCCATCCACCTGGACCGGTCCTGTGGAGCCCGGGGAAGGCCTTCATGGTAGAACAAAAGTCTGTCTGCCTCCCGGGGGGCGGTGGAAAGGCACCAGGTCAGAACCAAGAGCCGGGGGTTTGGTGACAAGCAGAGAGGACGCGTCTCTGTTACTGGTTCCTCCAGGGTAAGAATGCTGGAGGTGGCTAGCAGGGCCAAGGTCTCTGATGGAGCATTCCTCAGAACTCCTTGGGTTCCCAGCCAGCTTAAGCATAAAGAAGAACATCCTAACCTGCATAACGGGGAGACCCGGGAGGGGGTCGAGCCCCGACAGGGTACATTCAGTACAGTGTTGTCAGGGCTCTGACTTTTGCTCCACCTCCCAGCCCTGTTTCCCTCTCTGGGCCGGCTTCATTCTCCGCCGACCTTTTTCTGCGTGGTGGGAGAGACAGCTTTACATCGCAGACACCTTCACACCTCAGAATCTAAAGGAACAGTTTTCCTCTCCTTCTCAGCCTTCGTATGCTAAATCTGACGGGAGGATTCCACTTGGTCTTGCTTGGGTTTATCATCTAGTCTGTGGGCTGCTCACATGGGAGAAGGGAGGCCGTGACCGCCAGCCCTGTGGCTACAGCTCCACGGCAGGCAGTACTCATGGGCCCCCCCTTCTCCCAGGCACACTTTCTCAAAGGACCCTGAGTGGGGTAGTCGCAGACAAAAAGACCCAACTTCACACATCGGGGGCTAGAAGGTAGGCTGCCAGAGTCTGTCCCCTTTGTCCCGGAGAATGCTCTGATGACATGTCTGTCCTACCCAGCTGCCCCACTCCCACATCTCGGAGCCAGCCTTCAGGAAGCTGGTAGAGGACACGCTGGGCCAGACTGGTCACCAGCTTCGCTCCTTTCGAAAGAACTTGGACAAAGTGCTGCCGCCTCCCGCCACCCAAGTAAGTGCTGGTCCTTGCCCGTGGAGGGTCCAGACCTTCACCTGCCAGTGAGGCAAGGCCCCACCCCTGTTCCGCTCTCCTTGCACATCCCCAGTGCTCCCTGGGCCCTTTCCCTCTTCTTTCTGTGAGCTGTCTTTCTGTGCTGGGATTCACACCACCTATGCACATGCTCTTCGTGGCCAGTACACACAGCAGAATAGTAAGCGAAATCAGACATAAGAACAGATAAGTGGCATTAGCATCCAAAAACCTGGAACTTGGACTTTTTTTTTTTCTTTTAATCAAAGCTTACTCTGTTTCCTCACCATCTCACCAAACCTGCTTCAAATACCAGCATTTAGGATAAATAAAAAGTTGGAATAACACCTCATTTAAATTTTCTTTTTGCAATGGAATTTTTAATTGCAAAGAGTATCTCGGCTGCATTATGGTTTACAGACTTCAGCTGGTCAAATGCTTTTTTGGGGGGAAAACATTTTTCTCTACAATATAAGGAAAGGGGATCTTCTAGTCGACTCAAAGGATATATCCAGGTTGTATATTTTCTAAGCAGAACTGAAGTAGCTGAAGGGAGAAGGGGATCCCAGAATGACAGGCCTGGACTGGGGGAAACTGAAACTGTATATTCAATTACATGTGAAATGTGAAGTGAAGTGTCAGGAGATAGTGCCAGGATTCCCCAGAAGGGAGACACAGAGACATAGTAAAGGAGCCCAGCAGAGCCACCCCAGCCAAGTGGCCTGCACACCTGGCTGCAATGCAGAGAAGGTCAAAGACCTATCAGAGAAGCAGGTCCTTTCTGAGGAGGGCTGACTCCTCCTTGGGCCACAGCCGCCCTCCCCCCACCCCACCCACTGAGACTGCCCCAGCTGCAGGTCCCAGGTCCCCTGGGGGGGACGGGAAGGGTGTGTAGGGGGGTGGCATTGGGCCCTGCAGTGTGAGGGGAGGACAGGTGTGGAAAATAAAGAGCAGAGCAGCCACTCAGCATTCCAGGCTGGTTATAGAAAAAAAGAGAAGACGCAGAAAAACAAAACAGAAACGAATGGAAAGACCATATCCCAATGTGTTTTGCAAATTGGCAGGAAGAGAAGAGATACCCCCTCTTTTCCACCTATGTTTCTGCCCCACCCCACACACCCCTCCTATAAATTCCTGACTTCTTTGGCCAAGGGTACAGAGCCCACAGACGTGAGGTGGCACCAGGACAGATACAGTCCTGGTGATACTTTCCCATGTTTCCTCTTGGTACCTCCAGGGAATACTGCCGTTCTCTGCCTGGGGCCCCCGGTTTGAGAAAGTAGGCAGATGTTTCTATACCACTGGCTTTTCTACTCGGGTTAACAGCTCCATTCTGGGGAAAAAAAAAAAAAAAAAACTGCTCTATCTCCACTTCCACCTAAGGGCCTATTTAGAAATATCAGGTTCTCCTGGTTCTTGATCCTAACTAGCAAACCCACTGGAGCAGGGGTGATGGCAGTCTGTCCCCAGAGGTCCCCGAAGGGCACTTCTGCCTGCCTTTCCCACACCAAGAGTCTCCTCCCCCAAAATAACTATGTATAATATGATGGCTAGATACACACATGTAGTCAGAGAGGGAGTATATAGTCAATCTGTATTCAACATTTTTAGTTTCTCCTTTGTTTTATAAAAAAGGGGACAGTCACCCCTGAGCCCCTTCTTGGTGAGACTTTTGCTGGAAGCAATGAACAAGAAAACAAAGGCAATGCCAGGAGATTTTTGGATGCGCAGAAAGTGCCACTGAGTCATTCTTCCCAGCTGGATGGCAATTTCCATCAGGGCAGAGCTGTCTCCTATGTTTCTGCTACCCCATTCACAAGGCTTACTGTGCCTTGTAAACAGTAGGTACGGGATGCCTGGGTGGCTCAGAAAAAAAATCTCCAATTAGGGAGCCTGGGAAGCTCAGAGGTTGAGTGTCTGCCTTCGGCTCAGGTGGTGGTCCTGGGATCGAGTCCCATGACAGGCTCCCTGCATAGAGCCTGCTTCTCCCTCTGCCTGTGTCTCTGCCTCTCTCTCTGTCTCTCATGAATAAATAAATAAATAAATAAAATCTTTTTTAAAAATTAAAAAATAAAACTAGGTGCTCAGTAAATACTTGTGGAATAAAAGTAGCACTTTTTCACACGTGAGGGAGGGTCTACACGTGTCACCCTGTGCTGGCTGTCAGAGTAGCTGCGTGAGTAAGGCCCCGGTGCCTGCCTGAAACTCACAGTCCTGCTCATTCAGGCTGAAAGACCTGTGGCAGGCTTTTTCCTGCAGGATAATTTAGCTTGATGCTGTGGCCAGAATATAGGGCCCAATCCTGGAGTTCTGTAACCTGGAGAAATTTGGGAACCTGAATTAGGATTTTAGAAAATCCCAGAAGTTTAGACCTCGGAGGGGTTTCAGAGGTTAAATTAAAGGTTTTTGTTTTAAAGATTTTACTTATTTATTCATGAGAGACATAAAGAGAGAGGCAGAGACACAGGCAGAAGGAGAAGCAGGCTTCCTGTGGAGACCCTGATGCAGGACTCGATCCCAGGACCCCAGGATCACCACCTGAGCCAAAGGCAGACACTCAACCTCTGAGCCACCCAGGCTTCCTAAATTAGAGGGTTTTTTTCTGAGCTTCCTTTGGATACTGAGAGTCTGTGTTCTTCCTCCAAGTCAGCCGTCTATTAGTGAGGAGACAATTGCCCACTGGCAGCAGAGGTAGGCTCGGCCCACGACTCCTGGCTGTCAGCCGGCGGGCAAACACAGGCACTGGCTTGGACATGCCGACTCAGGCACCTGTGTCTCTCTTCATCCCTCCTCCCCCCCAGCCACTCCTTCCAGGTGCCGAACGCCAGGTGCAGGCTCTCCTGAGCAGGTATGGCCCCGAAAAGCTGTACCAGGTGACGAGCAACATCAGCGGAGCTGGGACTCTGGACCTGACACTGCCACGGGGCCAAATTGTGGCTCTCCTTCAAAACAAGGACACAAAAGGCAACAGCAGCCGCTGGCTAGTGGACACTGGGGGTACGTGGAGCTTCATGGGCTCTTCCCCTCCCTCTGGGGAAACACGCAACGGGGAGCCAGCAGGGAGATGCAGGCCCTGGTGTGGGCAGGGGTCTGACTGTGCAAATCCGGGATGGGAATTGGCACAGGTGAAAAATGCATGGCTTGGGGCACAGCCAGCTCAGTGTGGTCAGTGACATGCCACAGATCCGTTATCAGGCACCTGCTGTGTGCTGGGCACTGTGCAAGGAAGACTAGGACGCTGCCTTGGTGACCTCACAGACCACTGAGGTAGACAGATATGGAGAGAACTCTATCCTCACCCTGAAAGAGGTAGATATGCAGAGGGGGTGCTTCGATCCCAGCTACATGGGAGACATCTGGCATCCAGAATGAGGGATGTGTGGGCCTGTCTCCCATGCACTGGTTCCACTGTTGGATGTGCTGCTCATGTCTGGGTGCCCCAGTATAATTGGACAGGAGGCAGGTGATACCTTACACCCAAGAGGAGGTGGCCTGGCAGTGTCTTCCAGAGAGAGGCATGTGGCCCCCAAGTGGAGGGCCATGCAGGATTATTGGGAGGGGATCCATGGACAGTTTTACCCCTCCAGATGGTTTATTATAATTGTTATAGGAATATTTTTATGATCTGAGAAAAAGTATAGCTAGTACACAAACCCGTGATTTTATTCATATTATTTTTATTAAGATTTTATTTATTCACGAGAGACACAAAGAGGCAGACATAGGCAGAGTGAGAAGCAGGCTCCTTGCAGGGAGCCCATTTGGGACTCAATCACTGGACTCCAGGATCACGACCTGAGCTGAAGGCAGATGCTCAACCACTGAGCCACCCAGGTACCCCTTATTCATATTATTGATAGACTCACTCTTTAAACCTTAGACTTGTTCTATCAGAAAATTAAGTATTGACTCTTGATCTCAGCTCAGGTCTTGATCTCAGAGTTTTGAGTTCAAGCCCATGTTGGGCTCCACGCTAGGCACAGAGCCTACTTAAAAATTAAGAAAAATGTTACAAACCAGCAGAAACCATGAAAGGGCAGTCTCATGACTCAAGTTGACAAACAGCCAAATGAGGATTCGAGCTGGCTGCTGGGGTCAAGAGGACAGAGTTTGGGTCCCCAGTCTACCACTTTACTACCTGGGTGATCTCAGAGAAGTTAGAGAGCCTCTCTGAGCTCCGGTGGCTCAGCCATCTAATGGAGACTGAGCTGGAGGGTTGATGTGAAGACGGGACAATCGATGCCAGTTCTGGCACTTAGCAAGCTCTCGAGAGGTGCTGGCCACATGCAGTGATGGCAACCAGAACAGCACTGGAGTAGTTGTTCATGAGCAGGAACTGGGGCCACTTAGCGAAGAGAGGAGCCGTTTCTGCCTCTTGGAAGAAGCCATCCTGGGTGAGGAAGCAGCCCTACCCTAGGCCTATGCTTGAGGAGAAGGGGGCCAGCAGGCCCCGCACCAGGAAAGCAGTTTTCATGCCAGCCAGAAGAAGAACCTTTTATTTCTGTCAAAGCTGTTCAAAACAGAGTAGGCTGCCTTGGTAGAGAATGAGCTCCCTGTCACCAGGGGTGTGCAAGCAGAAGCTGGAAACAGGGAGTGTAGGTGGGTTAGAGGTGGGATTGTGAGGTTCCTGGATGACCTTTTCAGGTCCTCTTTAGTGCTGGGAAGCTGTGCTGGAGGCATTCACATCCATGGATGGTGGTGACTTCCTCTACCACTAAAAGGGGTGGGAAGGGTAGTCCACAGCCAGATAACGTTCTGCATGTATGTCCCTTAGGACATCGAGGGTACGTACCAGCTGGGAAACTGGAGCTATACCGTGTCACCCCCAGTCAGGAGGAGGTCCGAGGGCAAGAATGGCCTCACAAGGACTCCCGTCACCTGACACCAGAGCCCACCCCAGCCCCAGTCTCCTCTGTCCCAGTGGTGACCCAGGTGAGTCTGGGAGAGGGATGGGGTTTGCCTCCCCATGGTCACCTGGAGTGGGGGGCCTTGACTTTGCTCCTGTGTGGAGAGGGTCCCACACTGTGAGGCCAGGGCCTTGGTCAGTTGGCCACACCAGTGTCCTGTCAGGAGTGGACTGGGAAAAAGGAGCCTCTCATCCCTACCATGTCAACAACTCCTTGCTCCCTATCAGCAGGGCAAGTAGGATTCGTTTGTTCGTTCATTCATTCATTCATTCATTCATTCAGTATTTGCCAGGCAGTGTGCTAGATAAGAGATGTAATGATGAGCAAAAGTAGATCTTGGTCCTTGCCTTCCTCGGATTTATAATCTGGGGGTGGAGAAAACAGCAATTGATCAAATAATCATGTGGATAATTGTGAAGTTGTGGCAGTGATAAATGCCAGAGCACTGGGTATAGGAGAAGTTCAAGAAAGGCTTTTCTGAGAAGAATGATGCTTTTGCTCAGATTTGAAGGGTGAGCAGGGATTAATTGGATAAAGAGAGCGTGCCAGGGTGTGGATGGGAAGAGCTCCCCAGAAGGTGTGCATAGTGAGCGCAAAGGCCCAGTGTATGTATGTGGACAAAGGTGGGGTGCGTGAGAAACTAAATGAAAGGAGTGTGGCCGGGGAAGGGAAGGTAGAGGTGAGGTGCTGATAGAGAGATGGGCAGGGCCAAGCCAGCAGGGTCAGCTCTGCTTCAAAGCAGTGGGAAACCTACATGCATGTTCATAGCAGCATTATTCATAATTTCCAGAAAGCAGAAACAACCAAAATGTCCATCAGTGGATGAATGGATAAGCAAAATGTGGCATAGCCATACAATGAAATATTACTTGACCACAGAAAAGAAGGAAGTGCCATTATGTGCTGCCACATGTAGTTTGGTACAAAGGCCACGTGTCGTATGACTCTGTTTATATGAAATGGCCAGAATAGGCAAGTGCATAGAGATAGGAAGTAGATCAGTGGTTGGCAGGGGCTGGGGTGTGGGTTGGGAAGGGACTGCTATCTGGTATGGGGTTTCTTTCTTTTTGAGGTGACGGAAGTGTTCTGGAATTAGTAATGTGGTGGCACAGGCTTTGAAACCATTCAAAACTACTGAACTGTACACTTTAAAAAGAGGATCGTTAATAGCATTTGAATTATATCTCAAAACAACAAAAAAAGTGATAGGAAGCCATCGAAGGGTTTGGCTTTGCTGAGAGAGTCCTTGAGGAGGGAGAAGCTCAGAGAGGTCACTGTGAGGGCTGGATGAGATAGGGAGGCCCGGCTGGGCATATGTGAGCCTTAGTAAATGGAAACTGCACTCCCAGTTACAGAAGAGCTTCACAGGGGACAGGTGAGCAGCACAAAGGGCGGGAGCAGCGACAGGGAATAGCAGCGGGAACCCAGAGGCTGGCGGTGACTAGCCGGGGTGGGGGGAATGCCTGAGGCCAGGAGGAGCCTCAAGTGGGCTGCATGGGGGCTGCATAGAAACCAGCAGAATCTGAGGTGTGCAGCTTGTGGCACAACCCCAGGAAGGCTCTGAGGGCCAGTGCCTGGAGCATTAGCCACAAGCAGTGCATTGGGGCGGCCTCTTATTGGATGTTCCCACCTATCAGCCAAGGACCACAGGGAGCTCCCAGGAGGGCCTGGCCCCCCAGCTCAGCCCCAGTTCCACCCAGTGTGGGCAATGTCTCTAGGAGCCCCATCCAGCTTCCCAGACACATCAGCTGCTTCCTATGTTCGTGGGTCCACGTGTGTGGGATCGGCCCAGTCCTCCCTTGCTTCTGATTATTCCTGAAGCTTGGCCGCAGTAACAACAGGAATGGTAAATGTAACCAGAGCAGCGTGTGTTTACTGAGCCCTGAGCGTGTACCAGGTGCAGGTGTACCTTAGTCATTGAATTCCCACAATTACTTGGAGGGGGAGGATGTTACTATTTCCATTTCACAGATGATGAAACTGAGGCCGGGGGGTGAAATATTAGCCTAATAAATACCCTCCCCTCCAATTTTTTCTTCAGTTCAATGACTTTCCTTAAAAAAATAACCAAGTCTCCTAATCCCCAGGCTCTACTCCAAGCTGGCAAGCAGACCTGGGCAGATGACATCCTGAGATCCAGGGAGGGTGTTGGGGGAGAGGGTGCCACGTCCTCTCAGTGGGGTGCCAACAGTGGACCCAGGGCACCCATTCAGACAGGCCTGGCTTCATTGCCGTGTGATTTTAAATGAGTTCTTTGACTTCTCTGAGTCTCCATTTCCTTAGCTGAAAAATGGGGCAAGGAGAATTACAGCATTGTGAAAATCAACCCCAGGTAAAGTGCTGGCACAGAGCCTGGCACGCAGTAGGAATTGGTGTGGCAATGGCAGGGGTAGCCTTCCTCGATAGCATAAAGTGAGTCCTGGGGAGGCAGTGACTGCTCAGCCATGGGGACTGAGTCGGGTGGAGGGAACAGGATGAGCAGCCTCTCTGGGTGGTCTTCCCACCCCAACCATTACTGTGTCACCCTCCATGTGTTTCAGGTGGTGGCGGTGTACCCCTTTGTGGCCAGAAGCAGCCATGAAGTGAGTCTGCAGGCGGGCCAGCTGGTGACAGTCCTGGAGGCCCAGGACAAGAAAGGGAACCCGGAATGGAGCCTCGTGGAAGTGAACGGGCAGAGGGGATATGTGCCTTCCAGCTTCCTGGCCAGGGCCCCGAGCCCAGCCCCCTGGGGCTGGAGCCTGCCCTCTTAGGATGTCCTGCCTGGAGCCCCGTGCTGCTAAGGGATGGAGGAGGCTTAGATGCTGTGAGCCGGCCAGGGAAAGGAAGCAAAGAGGAGGCAGGGGTGGAGGGGGAGATGCGGCCAAGGGAGAGTGAAGGGCAGCCAGAGGAGGTGGTGGGTCTTGCAAGAGCGCCTGGCAGGGGGGAGCATGAAAGGCTCTGGCCAGAACCACTTGTTAGGTCTGCAGAAGTGGTTCCCATCAGAAGTCACGACAGCCTGGATGGCAGGTCCGGTTGATACAGACTTGCTGTAGCTTATGACCAGTCTTGCCTGTGCTTTCACTTCATCCAGCCCTGGCCCCAGGTTTGGGCCACCCAGGTGAATATTACCTGTGTGCGATGGGGTGGTGCAGGCAGCAAGGGCAGGGGGCACACTGGAGGAGTCCTGAACTGCCTAGCCTGACAGTTCACATCCTCCATGTGGCATCAGGAGACAGCACAGCCGACTCACCCTGGGAGCTGAGTCACCCTGGGCGGTGAACCCCCTCGGAGCCCTCCCTAGCAGGGGAGCAAGGGCTTGTGGAAAGGTTCTCAGGAGATTCTTGGCTCAGCCCTGGGACAGGTGTGGCCAGGTCACAGTTCTGGAATATGTTTAGGCAAATCCAGAGGCTGTCCCAGGGAAGGGGAGATTTTGAGGGTGTGTCCCATGGGGCGTGTGAGGCTGTTGTACACCACTGCTATTGTGTTCCTTGGACTAGAGAACAGGGCATGCAAATCACTTAGGCAACTCTGTGCAGCAGGTGAGCAAAAGCCCGGTAGGTGGGGGAGCACAAGTGATGGCTTGCTTTCCTGTTGGAAGTCAGGAGGCAGGGGGAACCCCTGGTGGTTTCAGGGCCTGGAGGCAGCAGTGACTGTGCTGTCAGTTGGTTGTAGGGCCTTAGACATATAGGACACAACCTGATCTCAGTTTTCCCATCCACAAAGACCTAATACATAGGGTTGTGGTGAGAATGGCCTGAGGCTAAGGACGGGAAGCTCATTGTACACTGTGAAGTGCAATATAAATGTAAATGGCCATTGGTAGCAGGAACGCACCCCCTCAAAGTGGTCTCAGAGTGGCCCCAGCAGCAGGTGGCCCAGCTGCACACAGAAGCCCGCATGTGGTCGCGGCCCTGCCCCCGGCTGGGTCAAGCACTGGGAATCAGCCTGGCGTCCTTCGGCTCAGCCCAGGGGCTGCCTCAGGATCCTTCCACACTGCGGTCCAGGTGGCCAGTCTTCAGAACTTGGTGAGATCAATCCACTGTCATCCCTTTCTAAGGACCTGGAAATGGAAAAACAGTTCCTGTTCAAGGCAGACCGACCCGTTGGGAGTTGAATCTCTTCAACCCCCCTGCTGAATCATCACTGCTCAGTTGTCACTTGGGCTAAGGTACATCTCAAGGTTCACAGCAGAGGGAAAAGGTGGTCGGACCTGATCTTTAATACAAATTCTACATTTTGGAACCGACCCAGGTTAGAGAGTGGGGGCAAAAACCGGTGGCAGTTTAGACGTACTTCCAAGAACATCTCCGTGGTACTGTAACTAGTGCCTAAAGCCAGCAGCTCTGGTTTTTGGAGGGCTTTTATTAAATACATATGTGCCTGTGTGAGAGTCCGCACCTTGCTCCTCGGCTTGTGAAACAGGAAGATGCTAGCGCAAGAGAAGCTCAGTCCCCGCCGGCCCTCTCCTGGCACTGGATTCACTCTGTGAGACGCTCGTACCTCATTTTCCTTTCTCTTTCCTGCTCATATTTCTAATACAAATAGGAAGCACAGGAGAGCAGATAATGAGATAAGCAGTCTATTTGTGGGTTCCTGAGCTTACTGAGAATCTCCTGTGTGCTAGAACCCCAGCTCAGGCTTCTCAACTTGGCTGCTTGCGGTACCTGGGCAGCTGCAGCTGTGGCTGAGGCTGGGATCCCCCCACCCCGCACCCAGAGATTCCAGTGGAGTTGGTCTGGTGTGTGGCCAGGGCCTCAGGCACTCAGGAAGCCTTCCCAGATACCCCTGGGGTGTCGCTGGGACTGGGGACCTCCCCACTTAGACCCGCAGTAGTGGACCAGACAGGCCTGTGGTCAGAAGTGGCCACCCGTGGTAAGCTAGGGTGCACCCCCACCTGAGTTCTGTCCTAGCTCCGTGGTTTCGAATGGAGTGGTTTGGAAGAGGACAGCCTGTTTTGTCAGGCCCCAGAATGTATATTTATGAAGTGCCATTAAGAGGGACCTGAACAAAACTGGATGTTCTTGAAGGCAGGGGAGAAACCTGGAACACACTCGGAAGCAGATCTATATTGGGGGGGGGGGGATGAAAGTGTATTCAGTAGCACACGGGCTGTGGTTTCTGGTAGACCAGGGAAGGAGGGCCAGGGTCACGGACGGCTGAGAAAATGCATGTGGAGAAGGAGAGAATGGCCTGGATTTTCTCCAAGGCCTGTGTGTAACGTGCCTTTGCCCGCCAGATGCCTAGAACCATTGCACTGTCTTACTGCACTGTGGGGCCGTCACATACTAAGCTTGCTCAAGTATTTGCCTGTGAACCAAACAAGACTAATCCACGAGGGTGGCCCTGGCTCCCTGCAACAGAGTGCGACCTCTTTAACCCTTTGGGCCCAAACCCAGTTTTGACCATGAGGACAAGATTACAATATGGAAGAAAGATGAACGAACTCCTGCTTACTATGAGGAGCTCTAGCTTGGTGAATCAGTGACGTGAACTGCTGAGAATAAAGGGCTTGAACGATGAAAATGTCTCTGGAGTTTGCATGACTCTCTACCCATTGGATAGACATGCCCCAGTGTGACATGTGCTCGCTGGACACCTGCTATTCATAAAAATGGGACTCCTTTTTCAGGTGTTCATTTTTTTAATTTCTTTTTTTTAAGATTTTGTTTATTGAAGAGAGAGCATATATGTACACAAGCAGGAGTAGGGTGGGGAGATTGAAGGAGAAGCCGACTCTGGCTGAGCAAGGAGCACAACTCGGGGCTCAATCCCAGGACCCTGAGATCATGACCCGAGCTGAAGGCAGATGCTTCACCGACTGAGCCCCCCAGGGCCTCTAGTGTGTTCATTGGATGAGGGTCTACCGCACACCTCTGGCGCCTGCAGGAGTCAGCCTGAGCTGCTGGGATGTGGTGGGAAGTCAGGCGGATGAGGGCCGTGTCCCTCCCAAGGCCCACAGTCTGGGGAGGGAAACAGACATTGGTGGTCAGTTACATGCAGTGTAAGTGTTAGGATAGGGTGGTAACAGGTGCCGCTGGAGCCCAGTGGAGGGGTCAGCCCCTAACTGAGACATGGCAACTAAGGAAGGCTTCCTGAAAGAAGTAATACCTGAGCTGAGGCAGGGCATATATGCAAAGGCCCAGAGGTGGGCATGAGCACCTTTCATCAGGGGACTGAAATGCTGCAGAGCTAGAACACAGGGTATGTGGAGGAGTGCTAGATGCAGTGAGAGATGGCTTAGGTCAGCGTGGCAAGGAGCTCTGGGTTGTGTTCTGAGGGCCGTGGAGAGCCACTGAAAGGATTGAAGTAGAGGAGTGACATGCCCAGGGTTGTATTTTAGGATGCAAGCTCTAGATCATTCTGGGATTTCCCAAAGTTCTGTCACATGGCTCAAGTAATAATAGATTTTCAATGCATATTGCTTACATCCCAGCATCCCAGAGGGGACAGGATGCCCTACCTCCAAGGAATCTCCCCGCCAGCTGGAGGGGCAAGACCTACAGGCATCAGGCAGTTACCTGGTACCACAGGGCAGGATGCTTTCGGCCCCAGAAGAGTACTGTGGACCAGTCTTGGTAGGTGCTCAGAGTAGGGGGAGTTTGGGAGAAGGGAACTGAGGTGGTCAGGGAGGCTTCCTGGAGGAGGCAGGGTGGGTGCCAGGCTCTTTGGGATAAGTGGGATCGGGGAAAGCAAAAGGGAAAGAGAAGCCTTCTCAGGCCTGGGGAGGCAGCATGGTGGTATGAAAAGTGGCCTTGCCTTTGTCCTTAGAAATCCTGAGTTCAAGGCCTACTTGACCATAGACAAGTAGCAGATGCACTCGTCATGGTTTCTGCATGCCAAGAAATGTGATGAGCGTCCCCAGCCTGCCCTGTCCTCTAAAACTACTCATTGTAGAGTCCTGGCTTATCCCAGGAAGCCACGGGCTCCCTCCACCTGGACCAGCGTGGACGCCACCGTAGAGCCTGTTGTGGCAGCACAGAGCCTCAAGTACCCTGGACTGGGGTTCCAGAAGGAGCAGGATTCCACTGCCGGCAGTATCAGGAAGGACGAGTAGCCTGAACAATCCATTCACTTAGTCTTGCTCATCTGTTCCTTCATCGGTAATTTCTGAACTTACCTCTTCTGTTTTCCCATCTGTAAGATGGGTGCGTATCATGTTCTCAGGGTTGGGTGAGAGGACGGGATGGCACAGTGTGAATGGCCATGACGGAAGGTGTGAGCTGTGGCCACCAGGTGGCAGCAGCGCCCCACCAGTCCACGGAGGGTCCCCCCCGAAATGCCCATGGGGCTGGGCAGGGGGCGCAGAAGGACCAGATGAAAGATGTTAGGGGAGCCGGACAGGGATGGGGACTGCGCCCCGGGGCCAGATCACAGTCCAAAGGAGCTAGCAGCTTCCTGGCTCCAGCCAACATTCCAATCAGAATGACAGCCCAGTGGTGCCAGACATTCTGATTGTTCAAAAGAAGCCAGAAACCAGGGTTTTGACTTTTTTTTTTTTAATTAAAAAAAATGTTTTTAAAAGATTTTATTTACTTATTTGAGAGAGATGGGGAGACAGTACGGGCAGGGGAGGGGCAAAGGGAGAGGGAGAAGTAGGCTCCCCACTGAGCAGGGAGCTGGCCACAGGGCCCTATCCCAGGACCTTCAACCCCAGGCAGACACTCAACCGACTGAGCCACCCAGGTGCCCTGTTTTTATTTCATGATGTGAAATCTCTGTGGGGATTGTGTGGGCCACAACAGGTTCCCCCTTTGTATTTTCTGCCTGCGTGTGGGTTGATCGTTGTGGGTGGAGAATCTCCTCTGAAGAATTGGTTTCGTATCTTTCTATTTCCTGTGAATTGCCTTCATGTTTTTCCACTTTACTCAGACGTGAATCCCCTTCCTTGGATCTCTGGGAGTGCTCTTTCCTTTTATGCTAATGTTACTGTGACCATCTTCAATTCTTCTTTTAAAGATTTTATTTATGAAGATGGTGTCCCATCCATCTTCAAATTTTTATTGGATTGTGGGCCATATTTTCTAACCCACCCATGAGGATGTCCGTGGTACCTATCCTGCAAAGTCCTTTTAAGGATAAATGAGAAAAAAATCACTGGGATTCCCTGGGTGGCTCAGTGGTTGAGCATCTGCCTTTAAGCTCAGGGCATGATCCTAGGGTCCGGGATCGAGTACCACATTGGACTCCTTGTGTGGAGCCTACTTCTGTCTCTGCCTCTCTCTCTCATGAATAAATAAATAAAATCTTAAAAAAAAAAAAGAGAAAAAAAAAGAGAAAAAAAAAAAGAGAAAATCACTTAGCCCCAGCACCGGGCACATTAGTGTTCAGTGAACACAGTTATCGTTATCATGGGGAACTTGGCAGAGATGGCAGGACATTTGGAGGAAGGTTCACCAGGCCTTTCTGCCTGTATGTGGGGCGGAGACAAGGCTTGTTACTCCCCTATGTAGAGGAGCATCCCTGTTGCAGGCTCCTGACCACCTGGCTGCGGTTGGGCACAGGCCTTCCCTCGGAGGCGCCTGTCACACCCCAAAGGCATTCCTGGGATTCCCCTGCCTCCATCCGTGGTGCTGCCAGGCTGGGTCAGGGTGCACAGATTTGCCACCCAGGGCAATGTTCGTGGGCACGAGCGGCCCGGATTCTCCTACCTGTCCCCAGCATAGGGCTTTGTGCTGTCTCCTGCACCCGGACAGGTCAGATGGGCGCTCGGGCAATAATCGGGCAGCAATTCTGGCCATAGGCTCAGGCCTCCTGCACCCAGGAGCATGTTGCCAGGGGACCCAGCAGCTCTGGGGATCAAGGCTTGCTGGGGGCCCTGGTAGCAGCCTAGGGAGCAAAGGCTCTGACCTATGGCTGGGCTCAGGAGCACGGGCCGCCCCTACTCAGTTACTACCGATGCCTCCGGCAGCCCTTGTGTTTCCAGCACATCTCCGGGTCTTCCAGGGGCCCTGTCTTGGGCCCATCTGCCGGTCACCAGGGGGCTGGGCGTCCTTGGAGCCTGTGAGAGGAAAGAGCTCTAACCGGTGGCTGCAGGCCTGGGACAGCCGTGAGCCCCGGGAGGTTCAGGGCAGAGCAGGAGTACGAGTGAGTTGCAGCCATCCCTCTGGGCAGCTCACTTCTCCAAAGCTTGGTTATTTGCTTGCTCACCCTCACGTGCATCCTCTGCCCTGCTCTGCTCTGGACTGTGGAGAACACGTTTCCCACCCCCACCCCCCACTCCATCCTCTGGTTTCCTGGCAGAAGGGAGGAGGGGAGAACCCAAGTATTTCTCTCTCTCTCTCTCCGCCTCCCACCGCACTCCCCCTCCCTTTGGACAGCATGTCTCCTTGTGGCCAGTGTCCATGGTTCCAGCCCCCACAGACAGCCCCTCCCTGGAGTCCCACTGGACAGGCCGGGCTATGCTTCCACTTCCTGTCCAGTAGCTTCCCATACTAGACACTAAAAACACTGCCTTTTCCCTATGTCTCTCTAGCCTAAGGGTTGGAGTGCCTATTTGCTGTTGCTAATCTCTGGGATGCTTCTTGCGTCTCCTTCCACCTATGTAATCTCCTCCCTACATTACATTTTTCTGTTCAGAATGCATAGACTGGTTCTCCTTCTGACCCGCTAGTGACTGATGACTGATATGTTGTTGCTCAGGAGCTAGGGGTGCAGGCAGGGACAGGGCAGTGGAAATATGGGGTTCTCAGGTGCCCCTACCCCTTAGGCTGCCCAGCCCTCAGGGAGGATTGGGACCATCCCCACGCCTGCTGCTCTTTCCCTGGCCCAGGGGACTATCTGGCCCTCCTGCCTGGAGCTCTCAGGAGTGTCTTCAGCAGCAGACAGCGGCTGAGTGGGTGATGCAGCAGGGTCAGTGGCTGTGAGAATCTGCTGAGCTGTCCCCGGTCCTGGCCAGCTGAGCTGTCCCTGGAGGGTCCTAAACAAACAGAGACCCAAAGGCAGCTGTATGAGAGCACAGCCAGGCTATGGGCAGGAGAGGGTCACCTCCCTCCAGCCACAGTGCCTGGAGTCTGGCCCTGGCTCAGGAGGGTAGTGAGCCCCAAGTCAGAGTGATAGGAAGTAGAGGTGGGCTCCTGGCCAGGGAAGAGCCTGCTTCTCTTGCTTCTGGGGTCTCGGGGCTCCTGGGTGTCTCAGCAGAACCTCTGGTGTGGGGAAAGACCAGGGCATTAATAGTAATCACTGCAGCTTCTGTTCACGACTCACAGGGCTGCTTGAGGGTTCCATGAGGGAATCCATTTGACATGATTAATTCAGTGCCTGGCACACAGCAAGCTCTCAAGCGCTGCAGGCTAAAAACATACAAACAAACAAACAAACAAACAAACAAACACAAACCTCGCCAGCAGCCAGCACTGTAGAACTCATTCTGCAGGCATTTCACGAGGCATGCTGGTGTCCTACTTAGGACTGAGCCCGAGCTTCTCCCCTGGGATGGAGCCAGGGCTGGGAGCACAGATCCAGCTGCCAGGGCAAGGAAGAGGATTGAGTTGGGTAAAGGAGTTGTGAGGTTGGGGGGGCACACTCCCTGGGGGCGTTGG